GGAACAGAATAAGGTTTGATGTGCCTACCGAATGATTTAGCTCTCTTTGTTCTAGCAAATGAGTTCACATGCCCAATTTGTTCTCTTTTGTTTTCAGTTCCAGTACTATTACCGAAATCTGTCAAGACAGCAAGCTCAACAGCAAGCGTGGCTTCAAAAAAGAAGGTAAAATGTACATAACCAATTTACGGGATCATCACTTTCTTTGTATTTAGACATTGGACCATCTTATTTCCTGTATTGAGCTAGCTTGTCCTTTGTCTATTTTCCGGATGTGTCATGTACAAATTTGTTTGATCCTTTCTTTTTCTGTCTGACATTTTTGTAATTTTGGTTTAATGAATTCAAAACAAATCCTTTCAAGGTGCTTCTACAGAGTATGAATTAGTTTCTCTTATCAACATTCATGTATGGTATTCTACTCGGAAGTCAGAACTTAACATTAATACAAGAAATGATAGTGTCCTTGTTTGTTCTCCTCAAACTCTTCCCGGAACAAAGGAGTTGGTTGACTGTCCTTCCATATGTATGCCAATTTTGTTTTGATGCTTTGATTATAAGTAATATTATTTGGATTTATTAAGATCCAGGTATCGGGGCTTCTATCCAGATTATTTATGACTATTTGCAATTTGTTCAGTTTGTCGGATACCAATTGCTATGACATTAAAGCCAAGTTTATGCAGCCGAAAGCGTGTTTGTGATGTTCAACCTCTGTGTGGTTTTATTAAGCTCATTTGATGCAACAATCTTAACTTGATCTTGTGCATTTGTTGTTTTTGATTTAGATAATATATTTAAAGTTTGTGTCTCTATATTATGTGATAGGGTGGAGAACATGGCACGGAAAGCGGCTGGGGAGGAACCACTGCCTGAGGAAGATCCATCAAATCCCATTTTCAAACCAATACCAGAGCCATCCCGTTTGGATAGCTATCTCATAACAAATCAGATATCCAACTACTGCAACCAGATTAATGGGTATGCAAGTGTAATTAAATCTCATCTAGAAACATGCCACTTATCCTCTTTACTAGTATGTGTTTGTAGATCATTTTTTAATATGGAATTTTGAAGCGTGCAAAATACACTAGAATAACACAAATGAAGTTTAAACTAAAGCATTTGACATCTGAAGTAATATTGGCATAATATTATTAAATCTGCTTATATTAGCAGCCATCAAAGTATAAAAAAGTTGTTTTTGTTCTCGTTAACCAATTCTATTGCTATGCTGCTACAGATATGCTGCTCTTTGTTACTTTGATCTGCTAACAGAGATCAAACTTGATGCTCAGATATGACATTCATAATATCTTTTCCTCCCTGTTTGTATTTGACACATATGTTTTATGCCACAGAATTTATTGGAAGTTATTTGGGTGAGAATGTTCGATACTGTTTTCTTTATAGAATTATGTTGTTTCTGCTATTGTCTTCCATGTTTTTTAACTATAATATGCAACTGGTGCCGTAGGAGCAGTTAGTATCTCCAATATAATATGTTAAATAATTGAAAATAAATGGCCATTATTTCAGTGTTGGTTATTGGTTACACGCACAGAAGGTTTCTAAATTAATCTGACTGTTATGATGAGCTAAACCTGAATAGCAATCTACTGTCTCCAATAAGGGCCACTATTTGTGTCATAACGTGGTCATTAAGTACTCAAAATAAGGGGTGTAATGTTTTGTCTTGAAAATTATCAAGAAAATTGTAAGCCGTTTTACATAATTGAAAATTATCATGGGAATCTTATGCACCATATCTTTTGATCTTGCCTTTGGTCTTTCTACGTAATGTTTTTGTTCTTCTGGATGTTAAGGTTAAAGATGGGTGTTCGAATGTAACCAAGTGTTTTCTTTCTTGTGTTATTTCATTTTGTTTGTTGTTTCATGCCTCTTAGCAGGAAAGGAAAATATGATTAATGTGTAATTTAATCTCTTTTGTTGTTTTAAAAATTGCAGTGTTGCTGGTCAGAACTTTAACAGATTATACATGATGAAGGCTTTGCAAGAGAATTAAATCCAAGATGGTATACCGCATGAGCGATTGGATGGGCTACGAAGAACATCATCTATGGGAGTAACTGTCGTTAGCAAAGATGTCATTTTGAAGCAGTTCTTTCTTATAACTTTTGGCATTGAGAATTTTGGTCAACTAACATTTCAATTGTGATACTTTTGGTGGCATTCCCCAGTTGACATCTCCATATGGTTGACATAATTGTTTTATTGTTTCTTGGCAAGTTTGACCTAGTTTGATGTTATTTGATTATATGATTCTATCTAATTAGGTAAGATATATTATAGATATTATTGAATTTTGATTACGGTTATCATTTCATAAAAAAAAAGTTTAATTATGATAGAATCTATTAGGAAATGAATTTGATAGGTGAGATTCTCTTAATTATTTATCTTAGATCATTTATTTTTGTTTATAAATAGATTTTTTTCTACTCATTTGTTCATAACAACTCATCGTTCGTAAGTGTTTATTTTGAAATCAAATACTTTAGATCATAAAAATATTTCAGATCTATTTTGTATTTAGATCTGTTTGTTAACACCCTTTGTTAGCCAAAAAGTATTATTCGATTTTGATTTATGATATTTGAATGACCAATTTGTGTTGTTGATTTATCTTCTATTTAGTTCGTCATGTTACTTGTTTATGGGTGATGTGAGGTTTTTCGTGTTTGATTGATAAACTACTGTTAATAGTTTATTATCGATGATAGAATTATTAAGCGTGATGACACATGATAGTTGCCAACCTAATCATGGGTAGTGGGTGCTTACATAGTGGAAGCACCATAGGGTGCGACAGACTTGTCGTGATTGGCTTGTCTTGGATGTAGGCAGTTGCAACAGTGTTATTGCTTGCGGTGCTTACGACGGTTGTAGGAATGTCGTTGCAGTGGTTACGACAGTTGTAGGAATGCCGTTGCAATGGCATTTACTAGGCACAACTAGTGTCACTAGATGCCAAAGCCCAACGATTGTGTAGTAGAAGCATGTGCACAATTGTGCAACAACGATCGTAGGGGTCGTCGTGCCGTAGTGACGATGGGTGTGGCCGAGCAACATGTGCGCATAGCTGCACGTGGGCACGACGACAGCATCGCATGACGATCGAAGAAGCCATCGATCAGGAATGAGAATAAGGGTTTTTTTTTACCTTCTAGTTATGCTCTTCGGTATTATATATTTCCACTATATCCCATGAAAAATTATAGTTTTATACCTTAGAAATTTAAATTTTTAGATTTATGTCATCATTAATAAAATTAATTAATTAAATTTATTTTAACTAAATGTTTTGATTGGATTTGATTATGATTGTATTTTAATTGCTTGATTGGATATAGACTAGATCAATCAAGTTTTGATTGAATTTGAAAAATAAATTAATTTTGATTATTTTTTTTTTATTTTGATTAACTTTAAATTCTAATTGATTTAATTGGGTTGATGTTTATCCCAATTTTGGGCCTGCCCAATTAAATAAGGTTGATTCTCTAATTTAGAGTTTTGAGAAGATCTCAAAACTTATTGATATCGTAACTAATAATCTTGTAAAATAAGCACAACCGATAGTTTTGAGAAAATCTCAAAGGAAATTTTTTTTTTAATTTTTTATTATCATGTGGTATGTCTATCAAAAATACCTCTTATTGTTTTCAAAGTAACATGTATAAAAAATGATATGATACAATAAACGAAAAGTAAAGATAAACGACTAAAATGATATTTGAGAACTCATCAAATAACTCAATAACTATAAAAAAAACTCGTTATATAAACATGATCCAAAGATAATATTGAACGATATATTAATCAAATTTATTATACAAGATTTTACTAAAAAAAATATATTTATCATAACGAGATTTTTTTGATTTTTAAATAAATTTATTAAGAATCGTTATAACATTAATGGCTTACTATGATTTTAAGTTACATGATATGGATGTGAAAATAATTTTTCTAAATAAGAATCTACGTTTATATAGATTAACCTAAATGATTCACAGAAAAAAAATGTAAGAAATATAAATTTGGTATGCAAATTTATTTATGATATTAAACACCTCCGGACAATGATATATAAATTTTTATAAACCTCTGCTCTCCCTTTGTTCATAATTCATCGTTCATAGTGATCCTATGAACAATAGAAAAAAAAAGAAGATAAATTTAATTTTTCTTGTATATCGATATCACTATAACTTTTGGATCCGACGATGATATATCTATAAATATCATAAAATTTTTATAACAGTATTGAAAGATATATGTCATATATTTCACATATCGTTGTTTGATTTTAATTTTTTATATTCAATAATGATATGTCTACATATCACATAAATTTTTTTATATTTATAAATGTTCATTTGACAGGCTTATTTTTGTATTTTAGGGATTTGATTCCTACACCTTTTAATTAATAATCAAGATAAACCTCTGTTGCCAACTGAGCGCCACTGTTTCCACCTCACCATCTCGTCGCCCGCTTGAGCCGGGCTTAAAAAAGTACGGGCATAACAACAACCCTCCACGTGGGTCCCATCGCCCACGTGACATCGCGTGCCTAACATTCCGGCACAAGCCTTTGATACGGGACGCCGAGAGTGGAGTTACGTGAACAACCGTCTGATGGAAAACTACTTTCACATTCGGTTCAGAGAGCATTTCTTTTTCGTTAAGAATTCCTCGTGAATTCCTCAGCGGCGAATTAACAACTTATGGACACTATCTATTCAATCTCTCGTGTGAATTTCCTTTTGTGTGAATTCCCCACCGGCGAATTAACATCTTGTGAATCCACAACTTGGGTGAATTCCTTTCTATTACGTTTAAAATTTTCTATTTTTGCAATTATGACACGTCTTCTTCCTATGGCCAGCAGGCAAGTGCAAGGCAGCCATCTCCAAGATGGTCGTCTTAAGTTTTCGAGAAAGATAAAGAAAATTAATAATAATTTGAACAAATATAACTGTTGACCATCTTATCTAAGTTATCATAAAAATGTTGATCACTTATTCAATCTAATATTTTTGGACCATTTTATGCTTTATTTTTTACAAACGTCAAATAAAATCTATTGTCAACTAAACTGACTAATACCTTTATATTTTCAGTCATTAGATACGCTCAAGGGCATGTGATAAGTCTCATTCCTTGAGGCAGCCGCTATTTACCACAAAAGAAATATTGGCGGTTGCATAGGACCATCAGGTAATGACATTGCTTGAATCATTACCAGATTCCTGCAACCAAAGAGGGGTTTCCACAAGCAACACATGGTTGATGCTTGAACGTGATATCACAAGAAATATTGGCGCACCCAATATGCTCATGAAACAGAAAGTAGTACCCCAATTCTCGTACTTGCCTTTCTCCATTGCCATTTTTTAGTCAAGCTGGTGTTCAAAGCATGTACTTTTAGGACAAGTATCACACACCAATATACTTAGGGGGGAAAAGAAATCTGGAACGAAAAGTACGAGAAATTGATAAAAAGAGATATTTGGAAGTCAAAAAGGTAGGAGAAATAATTGTTACCATAAGAAGAACGAGTAGCAATGGTGAGAACTGAAATATTCCTCCGCGTAGGTCAATCAGAGGAAGCACCTACTATTCAAATGCTAACTGCTAAGAAACCTGCAAAGATTGCAGTCAGCGGAAGTTTAACGAACTGCTAAATACCAAATGCACTTTTTTTTTTTTTACTCTGCGGAAGTTTCTGGAACCGACGTGGAATTCTAATGCCTTCTCCGCTTCTACATTCGAATATCACATTCCACAAAACATTACAAAGAATTCCTTGACCTTTTGGACCTTGTCTCGGAAATCATACGCTACAAATTAAATATGCTCCTTGAACATCCATGATTTATATCTGCAGTAGTGTGGAAATAAACAACAAATTATTATTCTGGCTTCATGTTACCATAAAATAAACACATCTTGAGCTACAGGCAGCAACTTAACCGGACTCCAGTAAAAAAAATATTATAGATTGTGAAAATGTCAAAGGATGTTTAAATGAATCCTTCTACATCTATTACTCGAGTTCCAAAAAAGTTGCAATAATTATTATTGGTTTCTTATATGGAGCACAAATAGGAAAGATCCTAAAAGATATATTAACAGCCTACAATAATAAACAATGTACATGAGCACAATAATTGGTCAAAGAAGTTTGGTAGATTTTGAAGTTGGATTAGACCTTATTTTTTAAATCATATGGGGAGATAATGTTCATTTCCTAAATTACGTTTACTTTAGAAAGTTATATTTGTGGTTTTATTCAAGTCCTAAATTGATTAGCAGTTATATTTTTTAGTTAAATGGCGATGCAAAAAGTCAAAATTATCTTCAAGGTTTAATTGTGGTCGTAAATTGATTAGGAGTCCAGACTAGTGATGCACAAAGACTATTGTCTCAAATAGTTGAAGTCATTTATAAGTGTTTGGTCATCCACAGATAGATCTCTAGGGAACTATGAACTCATAATAAATTATCAATATAATTGGTGTATGGCAAGATAAGCTTCCTTCGTTCTTGTTCTATTAATTGTCTTCCAGGGAATGCATTTTTTTTCTAGGGTACCCTATGTTTCTTTTTGTAGTTATGTTTTTAAAAATACTATGGATCTGCTTTACAAATTGATCCATAACCTGGAAGATCTATGAGTATGTGAAGTATTTTCCAACTAATATTTTAGACACTTTGGATACATTGAACATTAAATACCAAGGCTTTTTTTTTTGCTGAAACTCTTTCAAGCCTCTGAGTAGTGATGCTACTTGATTATCAAAAACTCAATGTCTGGTACATGTAGACATTTGATTTACTATGTGGTTCATAGTTCATTGATGATGTCTAGAGACAATTGTATAAAATTAAGGCATGCATACTTTGCAAAAGATATGCACTGTAAAGTATTATTGTTATGTGATGATACCATAAAGAGAGAGTGGGTCAACAGTGAAAATATTTTAGTACCAGAGAGCAAAAATTGTTGTTTTCTTGGCACAACAGCGTGCCATTATCGTTCTATAACGACCCAATGCCCTAATGTATCGATTGACACACCCTATAATTAGTTTATTTATATTGCCACAGATCAATATGACGCTTGGGCACAGTGCTTTCTGATTCATGCCAATGGGCCAAGGAGGACAAAAACTGATATCTATGCCAGGGACATTGCAATTAAAACTTAGTATCATTGTCAGTGGATGCCAAATGGCCCAGGTGATGACCACCTGGGTAGACTATACAGAAAGACAGGACAGTCGGTGGGTGCCTATCCTAAAACTTTTTTAGGAAACAATTAACTGGTAGATGAATACATTCTAAACCATGGTTCATTTTTTTCGAGGTAATGACCATGTGGTTTTGAACAACCCTTAAAAATTTACCAAAGAATGCCATGGTATTGCACAATAAAGATTATGCGCATTTACACAAAACAACTATGATTCTGCCAAACAAGTCCAAGTTTCCCTCAAGAAAGCAATATCTAGCCAAATGGGACCAATTTACACAAGTATAGCTTTCCGATGCTAAGATATCAATCAAAGATCTGCTCCTGCTCGATTCCAACCTAGATCAGCCATTCCAAATTGAGATCAATAGACTAAAATAACTTTGATCTTCTTAGATAAATTTTATCTCATCCTACCAATAATATAATAATTTATTCCTCGTAAGAGTTACCATCACATCTCCAAAAAATAAAATGAGCGCTCCATCTAACAACATTTCCTTTACCATAGAGATATACTTCACAATCATACAAAACATAATTGTTGTTCTTCATTCTAACCATGCTGCTCTTATTTATTTTTTCACCAACCCATTTCAGTATCCAGTATACTATTATCTTTTACTTCATATGCACATACATATCTCCTTTTACATTATCTATCTAATAGCTATTTTAATTTGATAAAAAATTGAGAATACAAATGCATATTTAATAGTTTTTCCTTCTATTTTGTAGCTGAGTTTTGTAATATGGCTTACGCCAAGTGCTGACAATTGGCCTGAACAAAACTGACCAACAACTTAATAAAAGAATAAAAGAAAGCCCAAAAAGCATTCCTTTCATTTAGATAAGGAAAAATGCAAAAATACCAAGGGTGAAATTCTTCAACGAAACTAAGGGACAAGATTGTCTTCTTTCTTTTCTATAATATAATTGTCACAAATCTCACCCAGATTTTAAAAGAGACCAAAAGAATCAGTGGATTGATTGCTTGAATCTTTAACAATCATATATGTTCTTTAAGAACACCAAGGTAGCTATCTCATAACTTCTTACCCTAATCTTTCTTAATAGATATATTTGTTTTCTCTTCTTAACAAAAGCAAGCTACAAGGTACACTTGCTAACATGTATTAAGAGTCAATTAACATTATTATATTAGTTTCTAGACAAGAATGTCATCTCAAAAATTCGTTAATCAAATTCCTAACATCCACCAAATGACTCATTTTGATGTTTTCACCAATAAAAGGTTTCTTATATACCAAGCCTTAGTCACGAAATAGATAGATAAACCCAAGAAGAAGTACAATGTCAAAATGGTAACTCATGCATTTGAAGCTCCTGTGCTTGATATTAGAAATTGGAACCTATATTTACCGAAAAATGTAAAAAGAAGTCATTCGTAACGTGTTTCCTATACATGCTGTGGAAAAGTGTATTAGTCAAATTAAAATGGACAAGAACCAACAATCCATAATCTTAGGAAACTTCCAAGATGAAATTCGACTAAAAGTAATGCAACAAATGAAGACAGATAAAAAATACCTACACCAATGCTAGGTAGATCTTTTGCACTGGTTGGAAAGATTGGTTCTTCAACAGCTTCCCTTCAAGTTCAACAAAGATGTTGTGATACTTATCTTCAGACCTATAAGAGAATACATACAAGCGAACAAAAACATGGATGGATCTTGTTTTCCTCATGAAATAACTCAATATAAGACTGGAATCTTGTGATTTGAACAGTTTGAAACTGGATCATATGTCCCTACGACAATTAGCATCAACATAGGTAATTGAAAAAAAGATCTGTTCCTATACTCTGGAGAAGAATGGACATTCCCATCATGGTCCTCCAATTTCTGAAAAGATTCAGGCACCAGTTCACAAAGGTATATTTATGCACAGATAGTGTTAATTCTTTCTTCAAGAAATCCTTCAGAAGGAACAGGAGTATCCTTCACAACATATAATACAAGATATCATTTCTCAGTTCCAACGATCTTGTATATCTGTACCATCACTAACATGACTGAGGTCGAAGGAGGTAAACAAAAACAAGCACTAAATTACCAGCATGTAAAGTAACATAAGATTCATCAGACATCAGCAAGGAGATATCACCACAAATAGTTTGCAGTATTTAGCTAGCTTAGGCATACCTTAGCTTTAGACGCTAACATGAGTAAATTAATGGAGAAACATCATGGATTGGAGCGAACAACTGAATTAACGAATGAAGCGTGAGGCAAGCAAAACGTACCCAATCAGATGCAACACTTCATCTGACAAAGAAAAAGAGAAGGATGTCTGGTGATGCGAACCAGGTTGACAACAAGAAGGAGCACGCTAGTACAGGACCATGGAAGCCGGCATGGGCCGCGGACCGGCGTGCTCTCTCTCGTTGTCAACCAGTCGCGCTCATGCAAAAGCGCCAACAAGCAATCCCATGCCTGCCAAGCCCATACCAACATCATAAACATCAGCAGAATCCACATACTTTCCATCTTCTAGATGCAATCACCGTAAATCTTTAGAAAAAGGAAGAAAGAAAACTTACAAACCGCGGTTTGATGACATAGACTCTCCGAGATCCATCAGCTCCAACCAGGTAGATTCGTATAAAGAACCAATTCTACCAAAAACCAAAGCAGAAGAACCAAACAGGAAGAGGAGGTGAAAAAATCTCAGATCAAAGACTAAGAACGACAGACAAGTGTTCGATCCACATCCTAATTCCCCAAAGATCTACTCCTACACACGGTGAGATCAAGGGAACGAATTGACAGAACAAAACACTTACTGGATCGGAAGCCAATAAACTTCCAGATCTCAACCATTCCAACGAAGAATGGGTGGTTTGATCGAAACCAACAGCGAAGCTAAAGAGAGAGACCTGATATAGCGATCGAGACAGAGAAGGGCGAAGCTTCGGGAAGCGAACAACCACAGAACAGTGGCGAACGATTTTGAGCCATTTGCCCACGACCACGTCTTATCCAAAATGATCCCATCGGAGCATAAATAAGCCCGCTGTGGGAAATAAAACGAAATTATTTGTGCGGGAAAAATTGAGGTGGATATATACGACTGTTTTAGGGGAAAAGGACAATACAACAGCGGCGGAACCGTTCTATTCCTGATTGCCGGTACGCGCACCCCCCCGTCCCCAAACCGTCCTCTTCGTCGACGCCACCGAGACTTCGCTCCCGGCGTTACCCCTCAAAGACCCCCTCGCTAACAGGTGGACCCCGCGACGTTTAGGAGCGGGTACGACAATGGGCAGTCGGAAGTCACGTGATTGGGATCTGGGTCTCCCGCGCCGATGGAAGAGGTGTCGAGGGTCTAGGACGCGGCACCGTACCTGGCCAACCAGCTGTCGAAACGTGTACCAAAGGGTCCTCATTTGACAGTGATGTCCCTGCTTATGTTGGCAATTCGCGATAACGCCACCACGTCGCCCTATGTACTCCCACCCTCGCCAGGTGAAACAGATTGGGATTTTTGTCCTCCCCCTTTTTCTCGTCGGAGCGACGCGACATGTGTCGTCCTTCGTCGTATCGGAAATCATGACGCAGCGTACGCTGCCCTTTCAAAGTCCCACGAAGGAAACGTTGGAGTCGAGATGGGCTTAAATCACTCTTAAAGTTGACCGAATCATCCGTGAAACTTTTCTGGGTGAGGTCACACGATTTCTTTTGTGGGTGAACCCCCTCCTGTCGATATTGTTGGGCTTCCAAGACCCATCGTCACGCAGCCATTCAGTATACAGCGCGGCCCATCTCTCAGTTCAAAGCAACTCCGGACCATCAACGTCACACAACAGACAAACCCCGAGCCACACGGCGGGACCGAGCCAAACCCCAAAAAAGATCACACACAAAACGCTATCGAGAATCCAACTGAGGTCCCCCCGAACCATCGCGCACCGGCCGGTTCACCCACCGACGCACCGGCCGGTTCTTATGGCGTTACGCCACTGGGACCCGGGCCCTGGGCCCCGTTTCTGCATCTATAAAGGGCCGCGCATGGTTGGTGGCGACGTGGATGGCTGCATTACGGATCCCGTAAAAACAGCGGAGAAAAAGTGCACCAAAGAGTGCACCGACTCGTGCCCGAACCCACACGTGGCGCTCCCACGCCCGTTCTTTCGGCTGTGAACCCATACCTCCCCTTCCGCGGGACCGCTTTGCGTGACCCACTTTCCCGTGTGGATCTCTCGCAGAATTAGTCCTGTGAGCATCCTCCATCTCACCGTTCATATGGATCAAGATAATGCGAACGGTGATTATGCCGATGACCACAGGAATAGTCGTGCCGAAGAGCGCACCGGTGGGCCGTCACCCTTTAGTGGCGCTGCGGACCGGTCACCGGTCATTCCTCCCGCTTTCCCTCCCGGTTCTCTTGCTCACGCTCCCCACCGACCCCACTTCCCCGGCTTTGTTCCGCTCCCTCGCGGACCGTGCTTAAACCAAATCGTCCTCGTCTCTACATTCTCATCTTACCGTCGATATGTTTTATCGGACGGCTCGTATCATTGCTTATCAAGGATATTAATTCTCCGCAGATCATTGTAATGGAGCTTACGTCACATAATGACGCGTTATGGGACCGGTGGAATTACTTGTAATTAATTTGACTGTTAAATTGTCACATGTAACCATGCGCGCAGGTACATCCGCTCTCAGTCACACGCTGCATTGATTCAGCGGTTCTGATCATTTGCCTGGGAAAAATAGACGGACAGATGGATACATGCGATGGGAGGAGCTGTGATGGGAGCAGCGTCGGTGGTTACGGTTTACTTCGCGGGTCCGTTAAGTCGATTGCTTTCGCCCGTTGGATCGCGCGGGGGGTGAAAAGAGAAAGAAAGGGGGGAATCGGATGGCTGGTTCTTATTCATCTCGTCTGTGGAGTGTAGAGCGCTCCCCCTTGTCCTCCTTCACCTCTTCGGCCTCTCGAATTTGCTTACGCTTTGGAGCCCCCTTTTCGGTCTCATCCTCGGCGATTTCTGTAGTCGCCGATGCCGGTGCCGGAGTTTGAGGTGTGTCGGCGTTGGGAATGAGAGCTCCGGCAGCGAGGGTCCGATGATGACGGTGGCCGATGGTGTACGAGGGGGGCCGGGCCGAAGTTGCGAGGCTCCGCCAGGGTCGTAACAGAGGGGCCATCGTCGCTGTCGTCGCATCCGGCTATTGATGAAGGTTTGGGCTAGGGTTTCTTTCTTCTTGGGTCACTGTAGCAATTCTGCCACTAGTCGTACGTTTGTGTCGTTTTAAAGAGCTATGTGAAAGCTAGGATTTTAATCGTGGATATGGAAATCCCGTTCTGATCCTTTGGAGTTTCTTGCTTTTCCCTTTAGAAATTTCGTTTCGCGAGAGGGTTGGTGAAGTGAAACGTTGGAGTTTCTTGCTCTCCCCATTAGAAATTTCGTTTCGCGAGAGGATTCGTGAAGTGAATCGTTGTTAGGTTTAAATTTTGAACATTTTGATTTCACCACATAGGAAAGCTTTTTCTAATGAGAAGTTGCTCTGTTTGATCGAGGCTACTCCTATTTGATGACTTATGCTGCTTCCATTTTGGCTTTTATATTCAAAATATAGATATATGTGCATATGATTTTGAATTTATGCGATAGGATCATCCTGACGTTTATTTGAAATCTATAGCTTATTGTTATGTTCCTGTTTTATGTTGACGGTCTGGCGACTCAGAGTAATGACATCCGTAAAAACTAGCCTTTTCTTTTTAAAAGCGTACATATTGCTTGACCATGGCATTGGGAGTCAATTAATTGATGAAAGTTGGAAATGCCAGGTTTATCTATGCCATCGAGGTGACACTTTTTTCCTCGAGTATTATTGTTTTTGTCTTATCTCTGACAACTGTTCTATTGTAGGAATCGTAATGATTTCAGCTCTGTTGTTTTTCTCTATATTTGTCCATTGTGCAGCTTTCTACTGTCAGCAATTTTTTCCTCATCTTATCTTCTGAGCTGCTATCAAGCGTTGGAAGGCTCTAAAATCTGGCACCTTTTATAACGTGGCAGGAACAATGTGGAAAAGGAACTGGAGAGGAAGTGACTCAATGGAATCTGGTCCCTATCCTGAACGGCCAGGGGAGCCAGATTGTGCTTATTACATCAGGACCGGCCTTTGTAGATTCGGGATGACTTGCAAATTTAATCATCCTCCAAACAGGATGCTGGTAATGGAAGTGCCCATGAGATGATCTCTATTGAATTTCTGCAATTTGATATGGAAGCATAATTATTCTTCCATTTCAACTGCTCGTTCGTTTCCCAAGAATAGCATTAAGTTGATAGATAAACTTACTTGTTACTTTAAAGTAAAAAATTGGGATAGGCTGTACGTAATTTGATGTCTTCTGTTTACCACTGATGTTTTCTAGTTTTGAATTCTTAAGATGCTTGTGCTTTTGGGTTACATTTAATGGCATTTATGCCCCAATAGAAGTATGACTTTTTGTTAGTAATTAGATGCCCTTATTATATAAAGCATGCTATATAAATAACTTCTACTCTATTTAGAAATTCTATTTTAAGTGAGGCTGTATTTATTTAAAATAGTTCCTTTGCTTAAGAGTTGTTACAAAATTTAGGCTAGCTCATGTGATTTTGATACCAGTTTATACCTAATTTCCTTTGCTATCTGCTGCACTTTCTAAGCGGTTTAGTTGTAATGATATATACAGTTTAGCTTTTGATCCTTCTTGTTGTATGAGATCTACTGACCAGATAAATCTGTCTTTAGAAAGATTTTCCCTTTTTCAACTTTAACCTAGATGCAATATACCTTGGTATATTTACTTTTACTTTGAGAAGATACAATAGTTCCTTTTTGATGCACCTAGCTATGCATGTTTGTTATCTACCTATTTTTTTGTCTACTTTGAAACTTGGACTTCTTACTCGTGGAAGAGTTGCTGCATCCATCTGCGTGTTTCATGATTTGCATTAGGCAATTATTGTTTTAGCTAATCACAGTTCCCTGAAAAACTTATTTTCTCCATTTTGTTGCTTCATTTTCTGCTAAAACTGCTTTTACATGTTTCTGGATGCCCCTAAATAGAGTTCGCAGACTTGATGATTTTTATTAGGTCATGTCAAATCTCAGGCTGTTGCTGCTACAAGTATCAGAGGAGGGTATCCTGAACGAGTAGGCCAACCTGAATGTCAGGTGATTCTTTGTTTATCACATTAAGAGATTTTATATTTCTTTTTGCACCTTTATGCATTTTACTGCATCCGGTGTAAGTGAAGTTGTAATGCCAAAAAGCAATGATTGGTGTCAGGTTGTATTGTTTTCTTTGTTGATCTTGACAACTAATATGAAACGGGTTCCAACTTTGATTGGGTTTCATGTATTTAATTTCCGAAGAAAATAACTATGGACAATATATTGAAATGTCTGTACATTTTCACCTGTACTTGACATATTTTTGAATTGTCTTGTTCTTGAAAGCTGCTCAATTCTAAAATGTTCATCTGGATACCTTGTTTCTTGTTTTTCTTATGAGGTATTCACCACAAAGTTTCTTTATGTTCATCTCACTGCCTATTATTGGTTGCCATTTGGAGTCAGTCACTTGTATCTTTTTTCGGACAGTTAGTTCTATGGTCAACACCTTTAGGTAATGAGGGTCATTTGCATCTTCTTGCTATACAGACCAACTCTACTTTGTGTTGGGGAGGGAGAGAAGAATTTCAAAACCAAAAGAAAACATTCAAAGATCAACAATCAAAAGCATACAAAAAAGCCGACGCGTAAGATAAACGTGTTTCAGCAAATCCCTGCCTACATCCATAGAGAAAACCAAATTCTTTACTATGTGAGATCAATCACAAGACCTTGAGTTATCCCTAACCAGGCATAGATTTCCTTGTAGATCCTCTCACATAAACCGTGAAGAATTTGCACCATTTTCTCACCTTCTCTAAAAACCATAGGGAGTATCCTCTCTAGATACCCTAAAGAGAAACCTAGGAGCACCAAAAATATTCTTCACATCTTGCTCTTCCGCACAAAAATCTAGAGATACATGAGATATTTATAGAAAAACCAAATCATAATTATGTTTCTTTCCCTCATGAGAACTCCTTGTTGTATTAGGATTACTTATCCCACTGGGACACTAGCTCCAGGATTCTAAATAAAATACTTGACAATGCCAACACCTAAAGCATAGATTTGGATTGCAAATATCTGCAAGTCACATGAAAAGGAACATAGGTAATTTTGTTCTGGTCAGTATTGAGGAAACAACAGTTAACAAACTTATTATATTGAGAAACAAGTGAACAGCCTGCATCTTATCATCTCTTCACTGGAAACAATTATTCTTGTTTGGATTTTTTAGTTGTCTTACCTTCTGCTATCCTTGTTTTGTTGTCTGCTATTATATTTGTTTTTTTAGAAGGTTTTCTCATTTTCTTTTTGAATGAAGTTATGGATTAATGAACTAATCTTCTCTCTTACAAGGAAAATTACTGTCTTAATAAGAAGGAAATTTTAGTTTCTTTTGTTGTTCCATCATCTGCTAGCCTAGTGTCTCTATAACACTTACTTTCTATACATTTTCAGTACTACTTGAAAACAGGAACATGCAAATTTGGAGCTACATGCAAGTTCCACCACCCTAGGGAGAAGGCTGGAATTTCTGAACAAGTTCAATTAAATATCTTAGGCTACCCGCTACGACCGGTTTGTGCTTGCTCTGCATTTTTTTTTTTTTCTCTGATATGGCAGGATTTGTTAGTATCAAGTGGTGCTGATGATTAAATGACTAAATATACATCATATATTTGCCTATTTTTGCCTTTTCAACTTCCTTTTTTTGTTAATTGGACAAATTCCTGACAGTTAACAATTTTGTATCATAGAATGAGAAGGAATGTGCATATTATTTAAGAACCGGTGAGTGTAAGTTTGGGAGTACATGTAAATTTCACCATCCACAGCCATCTAATGCGGTACTTGCTCTACATGGATCTCCTGTTTATCCTTCTGCACATTCTCCGACAACCCCCAGTCAGCAAACTTATCCAGCGGAGATGACAAACTGGACCTTATCAAGGTCTTCTTTCATTCCAAGCCCTCAATGGCAAGCTTCTTCAAGTTATGCTCAGTTAATTCTTCCTCAGGGTGTGGTCCAAGTTCCTGGTTGGACTTCTTACTCTGTAAGTTATGTTAATTGTTAAATGTTTCTTTTTTGCTTCTATTGACTTTCAGTCATAATAGTTCAAGCATTAGATCCTTTTCTGATTATTTTCTGTGGATTCTAATATGCAACTTGAACACTTTGTTTTCTTTCAAATTTATTGTGGTTTTGAATTTTCTTTTATGAATTTCCCATGTATGTAAAGAAACTACACATGGAGAAGCTCATTGAACATACTTTAGTAGTTAATTCTTTCTTGGGTACAAAAGTTATGCAGTTTCATAATAGATTTGTACTTATGTCATCTTATTCTTGTGTTCAAGTGGGATCATTTACAACCATTAAGCTTTTTCATAAGACTTTTTCTTTAAACTATGCAAGAGAAGTATAAAACCAATAAATGCTAAGCATATCTGAGACACCAGTCTCCTGATAAGATATATCCACTGCATCTAGCTCTTTCCTTGTTTGGTTCTCTGTGTCCTGTTCCCCTGGAACACAATATTCAAGTTCACATACTTTTGCTACTACTTTAAAATGAGGTACTTGGAATTAGTAGAAGAAATTGATTATGAGATGAGGTACACGGAATTAATAGAAGAAATTGTTTATCATACTAAGTCATTTTGCTGATTTTAGCTCTAACTAGTTTGGGATATGTCATAATTGCTACTTGTGCTTGGCAGAACGTGGGACTTACTTGCATTCTCACATATTCATCTTAGATATTCTGATTTATTTGGCATCTTGCATGAGAGAGCTGTATATTTGGCACTTTGCATTCCCATCATGATCACTAATTGATAGACTTGCAGGGACAGCTGGGATCATCACCAGAGAGTCAGCAAACAATAGGGACTGCTCAGTTTTATAGTGCCCCGCAGCAAGGTGAGACAAGTACTGGAGCTCATGGGAAATTTCCATCTTATCGACCAGGTCCTGTTCCTGTGGGCATGTATGCAGTCCCCAGAGAGAACATATTTCCTGAGAGGCCTGGTCAACCTGAATGCCAGTTCTACATGAAGACTGGAGACTGTAAGTTTGGTGCAGTCTGCAAGTTTCATCATCCTAGGGAGAGACTAGTTCCAGTTCCAAATTGTGTGCTAAGTCCATTGGGCCTCCCACTACGTCCAGTAAGTTATTCATCCAATCTACCTTTTTTCCATACTCCTTCAGTGAACAGTCTCTCATGTTTAGGATCAGTTTTGCACCTTACACTGCTTGCAGTCCCTTTCCATTGAATTTAGTTTTCTGGTATAAGTGGTTTTGTTTGAGATATTAACATATATGTAGGAATTATTAGTTTTTTTATGTATTGAAGGATATAGCGTCTAGCTGTAAATGATAAAGCATTTTTTTATTATATCTAAGGGGATGATTATGTTAAGAAATCACCTTTTTAGCATATTATCATGTGTGATTCATCAATCACCAGAAGCTTTTGTGAGTACTTATGGATATTTGAGAGAATTCCTGGATAAAACACTTCCTAAGAAGACACACCTAATTTCCACCTAAAACACAATGACAAACAATCTAATACATTATTCATCTAAAACAAGTTGATTTTGGATTATTTTTTATGGCTCTGAGGGGCTCATCAGAAGATAAAGAGTAGGGTTTTGGTGAACTAGATGAATTGTTAAAACTATATTGCGATCTCTTGGATGCATTGGCCTTCCTAAGTTATAACCTCTTCCGCACCATAGAAGAACTTAATTTACTTTTTTAAGATGCATCAGATCAACTATTAACAGGTTTTGAGATCGTATGCTGACTAGTCTACTAAGGAGTATATTAATTGTGCTTTCTAATTTAGATGTAGCATGCTATTTGACGGATCTTTTAGGCAACTAATTGATGTCATGTTAAGATCAGTCCAATATGACCTCAGTATCAAGGGTTGGATTCATGGTAACAATATTTGATATAAGAACCTCGACAATATGGAAACAGTCTCATGGGAACAAACTTCATGTCACAAAGAGAGAAAGAAACGATGCTGACTTTATCAGGAGAAAGATATTTAGGCACACCAACAAGATGGATTTTGAAGCTAGATTAAACATGTTATGGAGTTACTACTAATTTTAGACATGATATATTATGGTTATGTCTGCAAGGTTAGTTAGGCAATATTTGTACTAAGGGTTGTGCTTCTACCAAATATTTCTTTATGGCCTAGAAGAAGATGAGAACTCTATAACATGATACTGAAATGTGAGTTCCTGCTAGAAATCTCACTTTTTTTTTTGTATGTATACAATAACTAGTTTTGATTAAACTGAACTCTACCTGGCACACTACATGATTTAAACACACATGCATACAACAAAATCCCATCACCTTGGCAACTGGATACTTATGCTTTTGCAGGTAGATCATTCTTAAATTAGAGATCATAGAGGCAACTCTAGACTTGTTCAAAGGAAAACAAAGTTACCTCGAGAATCCTCTTTCCCTTTTTCTGGAAACATTCATCTTAGATGCAACGATGAGTTTAAACTTTCAATAATTGGATCTAGAATTCTTTGGAAAATTAACATGTGAAGTAAAATGAACAATAAATAATTCACTATCCTGTCATCTGTCAATGTTGCTTTCACCCTTATATTTTTCTTTCGACTAATGGATGGGTGAACTTTTGATGAATGCAATCTGTAGATGCATGATAAATACTTAACCAGTTTTCATTTTAATCCCTTCTTCATATACATATATTAGCCCTACAAAAATAATTGCCAAAGTATTTTCCTTTAGCAAACTTAAGTCATTAACAACAAGGTTTGTTAATATTTCTTTCTCACCTACAACCATGCTCCCTAAGATTAGTGGGGAGGAACTGATGCTCTCTTTTTTGTTTTATATTTTTTGAAATTCAACTCCAAAACATTCACTTGGAATGAGATTTCATCCCTCTTTCTGCTAAAAAGAAATTATGGATCTCTCACTAAATTTTTCGCTTGATTTATCACTATTATATTATATTGAGAGATGGAAGGCATAATTTTTAGTTCTTTAGATTTCGAGCTGGCTCAGTGGAGTATAAGATCAAGTTTCTGAGTAGTCGTTGTATTAGTTAGCAATGAACTTAAATATTGGATTTTAGGAAATAATATACATATATGAAGAATACAAATCATTTCTATGTAAATACTCAGTGTTCCACTTCCTATTTCTTGGAAGGACAGTTTTGCTTCATGTTATATTATTCATTTTTGTCCTTTTTATGAAATAACCAAGAACTCTAAGATTCTTCTTTATAATATCGACAGGGAGAGCCATTGTGTGATTTTTATTCTCGCTATGGAATCTGCAAATTTGGTCCAAACTGCAAATATGACCATCCCATTAGGACTTACACATATGGCCTTTCGGCATCCTCCATGGCCGAAGTTCCAACTGCTTGGCATCTATCGAGCATTTTGCCGGAGCCTTCTGTTTTGACATTGCCATTGGAAACTGCTGCAAATGGCAGCTCAGGAGTGTCCAGACGAATATCACAGTCAGAATCTCAGCATGCAACTGCTGGTGATGAAAATGATGACGAAGAATCATAGCAATTACTGTTCAAGCATCGGAGGATTCTTTACCCTCAGGAAGAGGAAGCTCTCCATGGTATCCAGCTTCCATTCCTGGAGATGTACATTTTGTTGTCAGTAATATTTTACCACCCGAAGATGCATCTATTTTGTGGCAAACAAGAATTGCCTACTTAAATATGCTTCATCCAATAATTTTTGGTTATCTATCCTGATGGGGAACATTTAATGCCCCTTACATTGGATGTTCATTTGCTTCCTCTTGGTATGATCGACACTTGCCACTTTTACATGTTCAGAGCATCTCTATTTCCGTTGTTTCTCTCAAACAGTGGCTTCTTTTAATTTATTGACATTGAATTCCTTTAATCTTTATTCCCCTCTTAATTTTGGCTTCTTTCAAACGCTACGTGGCCGTCGTGAGGCCCACCTTTTGACCCATCCTGGTTTCGAACAGGTAAAACTTGGGGAAGTAACTATTTGTCGTACGTATACTGCCACCGCGCCCTTCAAAGCTGCGAAGAGGCTATGTTCACCGTCTGATGTATAATGCACGAATCGGGAGGCATCATGAGCATCTTCGATCTCGAAAAAGAACGCAAAGTGAAACGCTCTGTCTCGCTCGCTCTGTCGCCGACTTCTTTCGTCAGTGATACTCTTCTCTCTTTTTGACGGAGAGGGTGAAGGGACGGGCGGTGAGGATAAGAATGGCGGGGGTGGTGGTATTGGTGGCGGCGACGGTGGTAGGGATGATAGGAGGGGCGAGGGGAGCGCCGACGTGGTGCATAGCGCGGAACGGGGCGGGGGCGACGGCGCTGCAGGCGGCGCTGGACTACGCGTGTGGGTCCGGGCTGGCGGACTGTGCGCCGGTGCAGCCCAGCGGGATCTGCTACCTTCCCAACACGCTGCCCTCTCACGCCTCCTACGCCTTCAACAGCTACTACCAGCGCTCCAACGCCGCCCCCGGCGCCTGCGACTTCAGTGGCACCGCCACCGTCACCGTCACCGACCCCAGTCAGTGCTCTCTCTCGCCTCTCTCCTCCCCTCTCTCCTCTCTCGTTCCTCGGTGTAGCTTGGAATTTGTTTTGCACCGTCGGATCAGAGGTTGCACGAACATTGACGACCGAGGGGTATTGAGATCTGTGTCACAGCTGGAACGCAGTGTCTAGGTAACTTGATTAGTGGCGGTTTCGCGTGTGGCCGCACGCTGTGGTGATTTGTTCCCGCTCCCCAAATATAAACGCATTATATTTTCATTTCCTGTGATCGAGCATAGTTAATATGGACATTCAGGTAAATTGAAAGCAATATGGACATTTAGGTGATGATGATTAACTTGTTTGATCTCTTAATTTGCTTCAGGTTACGGGTCCTGCACATATCCTTCATCTGCAAGGTACGTGATGCTTGTTTTTTGATCCCGAAGCAATTGAATTCTGGTTGGAAGAAGATAAAGAATTACCTTAGATTTGATGTTATTTTTTTGTGTACACCATTGTAACTTACACAGCATTATAATGCCTGATTGCTAATCATATCCATGTTTCGAGAATGTTAAGCTTTATATATATGGACCTTCTTGAAGTACATTTTGACATATGTTTATGTTCACACCCTCTCATGATTGTCTAATTTTCTTTTTGTCATGAGATTGCTTGAGCATCATTTTAGGATCGGATATGTTTATCAGGTCAACCATGCATCCTTGATCTATACTCAACAAATTTTTACAGAATCCAATATCTGAACTGAACTAAATCTGGAACTTTGAATATGAATCCTCATTTTTTATCCATGAGTTTGTCAAATTCGTATTCACGTCATAGCGAACCCTACATAATAACACCTCCAATGTTATGTATGTGCGATAAAATCATTGTTTGATGCACCTTATGCTTAAAGACTTGGATTTGGTCATGTAGAGTAATAATTTTGCCTTGTTACAAAATGCTACTAGTCCCATTTTGATGTTATAGTGGACAACACTTGCTGTTCCAATCCTTTGGACAGCTGCATAGCGGGTTTTCGGCTGAAATAGTTTTGCAAGGTTCTTGGGATGATAGGAGGACATGATATAATTGTCTGATTGATGTTCTAGGGTCAGGTCCATCACCTACTGTTACACCTGGATTTGTGATTCAATTGTATTTCAAGGTCCTTAGATCATTGGATGATCTTTTAGATTTTCAGGGTAACTTCTGGAGGTGTACGAGTAGTGTAAAGGAAAAACTTCTAGACTTATGAAGCCTCTTGCAATAGCCGGGAAGGATAAATCGGAGAGGGATTGAATCACATGCTATTTGATTTAAGAAAACATAAATGTTAAAATCAATCATTTTAATCAAATCAGAACGGTGCATTGTCAGGCTATGTCCAAACACAAGTATCAGTCGACAACTTAGAAATGAGCAATATCACAATTTGACAAGAAGTCAGTAATCTAATTTATAGTGCTTTGACCTCTTCATTTTCCCTCTATATCTTGAAGTTAACACAACCATTTCGGATGCCAAACAACTAATACATGTCTGTGCTGTCAAGTCAACAAATGACAACCACTACTTGAGTGCATTCTTGTCAATTTAATTTGGAGGAGAAAAGGGAAGTCGTGATCCAGGAGTCTGATCATGCTCATTCCTTAGACGAATTTATGGTTTCAAAAGAAAACAAAGAACTTACTATTACAGTATTACTTAAGATTGGACATCAGGGACTCTTTCCATGTAAGATCTGTATGCTTTCTACCTAAAACATAATAATAATGTAATTTCTCCGTGTTGTAAAATCCACAAATGGCAGAGCCACTACTTCTTCTGAGTGCATTCTCCATCAATTAACTTCAGTTTAGGGGAAGAAAGGGAAAGTCATATGAACTAGGAGTCTGTGCTTGATGTTTATTATTTACATGAATGCATGGTTTCAAAAGAAAACAAAAAAATTTCTTTTAATCAATGTTTCACAAGCCCAAGCATGCTTATCTCTTCCATTTGAAGCATCATCAGGATATAACCATATTGGCTTACAACTATGGGTTTCTGGATTGCAGCACAGCAGGAGGCTCAACAAGTACACCAAACACTAATACTCCCTCTAATTCACCAGTCACGACCTTTACCCCACCGACGGCACCCACCTTTAGCGGCACAGGTGGTGGTATTGGTGGGCTGAGTCCTCCAGGGTTTGGTTCAACAGAGCCTAATATCGATACATCTACAGCTTCTCCTCTGCGCCCCATTTTGTCGGTTGCCACCTGCCTTTGCTTCATACCACTGCTCTTCTGATCGATTAGTTCAGGCTTATCTGGTTCACATTATTGTATCGGCCACAATTTTGTTCGAGAATTGGTGGCTCTGTGTGGCTGTTTTAAATTAAACCGAGTTGGTCTTGCAACCTTCAAAGGCTTGTAAGAAGAAAAAGAGATGGTGGGTGAAGGCACTGAATGTGGCATCTTGTCCTTCTTGGCTACAGAGGGATCTCACTGTGCTTCCTTTGCTTTTTTGCTTGCGATTTCGTCGGTTTTAGTCGTGATAGCAAGAATTTAAGCATGCACTTAGCTGCTTGTGAATGGGTGCTCATGCAAAATATTTTTATTTTGTACTGTATATGGAAGCATCAGTATATGTATGTGTGAAAGTCATGACCGTTTAATGCCGTCATGGGAGCAGTCTCCACCGTCCATTATAATATGTAAGTTGATCATATGATGACCATCGATCTTAATCATGCACGATATTAAGGTTGATCGTGATCTTCATTTAATTTAAAGGCTGATTGTAAGTTTCATGTAATTTGTGAATGGGATGATACCTTTTTGATCAAGTATAAAATTTTCTTTATGAAAGAAGAAATTAATAGGAAAAAATATCAATTGAATTTTCAAATTAAGAATTCAAAATCTCATATAATAAATTTTACATATAAAATGCTAGTCAATTTTTTATTAATTTTTTTAAATGATAATTAACCGAGTTGATTAGTGATAGGGAGCTCTAGTTCGACTTATTTGTTGTTTGACTTACGTTAGAAGTCCTTTGATTATGATAAGAAATGTTTTGGTATCGACAGTCATCTTGGAATCAAAGTGGCATCTTAGAGATGACATAACGCATATGTGCAATCTCACGATAATGTAGCAAATTTGGAAATGATGCATAATTATAATCACGTTATTCGGGATCGTACAAAGGTGTCTCTGCGTGGTGCAGAATTAGAAGAGTCAACTTGTGCCATCTAGAGCAAATAAACCAATCGCCTAAAATGTCGACAGTAATTAACAACTTACATTGAGGGTGAGTAGGTAATAGCCTCTCTACTCTCTACTCTCTCATTTACACAGCTCATATTATTATTTTCCTCCCCCTCCGTCTTTCGCTAACTTAAGTATTTGAAGGGTTGAACTGAAAAGTCTCCGGCACAGACCTATTGTGTAGGATCACTAGTGACCAAAAGATGACCATGCTGCCTAGAGGCGACCTCATGGCCTGAGGATCACCCGTTCGCAAAGAGATGACTTCGCAGCAACAGGGAATATCCCTATTCTCCTACTCGACCTATTCGTTTCTAAGCTATGACACCTTCGATGAGCCATCTTTTCAATAGGCCTCTCATGTTGGCTCATCACGTTAGTACCCTATATCAGGAGATATCAGAAGAGATTTGAACCTTCAATAGTAAATCAATTCGGCCGACTCACTAATGAACGATATTCGTGACTTATCAAGTTATATTCTAACTGTTGGGGCCCAATAGATGTAGTTGACAATGGAAGATTTTGTCTCCTTTGCTGACCATGAGGACCGTAAAACCGGACAAACAGAATCGGATGTTGCCAAGAATGATAAAACCGGATAATAAACCGACCCGCTCCATCAATGAAATCGGGCCAACCGGACATGGATAAGAGAACGCGTTTGAATCGGTTCCTCCCGGTCCGGGTTCACTCGGCCCAATCGGACCGGCGTGAAGCGTTTCCCGCCAAATATTTCCTCAGTAAATAAAATGCGTCGCTTCTCTTTCTTGCTTCGAAGACTTGCAAGGCGATGGAGATCGTACGATCCCAGAGGAAACCGGCTGATGCCGCCGTTGTGCCGGCCCTCTCTCTCTACCGCTCCGCTCCGGCACTCGAGGTTCGGCTGGAAGATTTCGAGCTCTACGCCATAGATCGCCTTCGTGGTACCATCAAAACCCCACCTTTCCCCATTTCTAGGGTTTTCTTTTGTGCGGAGTTTCTGGGGATATTGTGAATCCATTGGGTTTGATGGTAACTGATTGTATATTCTTGAATTGTTTCGGTGCAGTCCTGCAGGGGATTTCGGATGGCTTGTCCCGTGGGAAAAAGCCCGACGAGATGGAGAAATTGGTAACTTTTGTGTGACTTTTTACTTGATTTGTCTATTTATTCTTCAATTTTTAATATATTTTACTACAAAAAACTAGGTTAGTGAACTTTGGAGGGCACATATGAGGCTTCAAGATCCATCGGAGGAGATGAACAAAGACATTGTATCACACTTTGTGCTTCGTCTCGTGTACTGTAGAACGTACGTTCTAATTGCTATGATTCTGTTTGTTCGTGGATTAAGTCTTCCTGAATAGCGTTTACATCATTTCCCCTCTCTGAAATCTAGGGAGGATTTGAGGAAATGGTTTCTTTCCATGGAGACTTCTCTTTTTCGTTACCGTTTCCGGCTTGAAAGCCCTGAATCGCAGGTAGACTCTAGATATTTTTTAATAGACTGAGAGCTTTAAAGGATTATCTGTTTCATTGTGCCTAAATTTTCTTCTGTTGCTTTGTAGAGGTTGCTCATGTCTGAGTTTCAGCTACCCTATAAAGCAATAAGTCATGCAGAATTTGAGGTATGTTTGCATCAGTGATACTAAATTGTTTGTGCTCTTATGTTGTCAAAGCAGACAAATTAATGTTGTACTCCAATTTCAATTGTTAACTGGATGTATTTTCTGAAAACTTTTTTATAGAGAGAATGTTGGTCTTTATTTGAAAAAGAATGTTTTTTTCAACTTTGCAGACTGTGAAGGATAAGTTAAATCAAGTTGCACGTTCCACTGGTCCATCCTCAAATGGTATAAGCCTGCTACTGATCAGATATTTGGCATGTTATAATTAAGTAGGTGCATATGGATGAATAATATTAGACTTTGATGACTCCTGTTTTGAAATGCTTGTGTTGCAATTGAATTGCTCAATGGAATTTGCAATCATTAATTCAGAGAAAAACTAATTGACTGTTTATATGTTTCCCTTTTGGATCTAACACGTATGTACAATAGCTTAGCCATTTAAAGGTTTATCTTTGTTCTGTTAACTAGTCTGACATCTTTTTCTATGATTTGCAGCTGAAACCCTCTTCTTCAAGGTACGCTAGCTCCACATTTCTTTCAGTATCAGCTTTTCCAGGAAGTATATTCTAGCCTTGATTTCACTAACTCGAATCTGCATGTAGGTACCTTTTGAAGAAGTTCCAGAACTTGTTGCTGGTCGTAGGGTATTCATGCTTAAAGGTTTTGCTTATGTTGCCATGAATCAGGTCCATACTGGATTCGACAACAACTAATTCGAACTCCAAAAGCCTATGATTGTTATCCTAAAATTGGTTGTAATCATTTCTTCAGGTCGTGTCACTTGTTGCTACTCAATTCCGGAGCAATCTCTCCAAGGCCCTTGTCCTAACCAACAGGTAAAATGGTCCTTTGATTTCGGATTTAAGTATTCTGATGCTTTTGGTGTCCTGCAACTGGTACACTTATAATTGTTTATTTTTAGCAATCCTGTTATTCCTTTTAGAACCACAGTGAACTGCTTCTATTCTATAAAAGCTTGTAGATCCAATATATTATCAATAGAACTTGTTTTCTTTATCCAAAACCAGTAATTAAATCAGAGATTGGATTCAGCCCCTGATGGTTGCATTTTTCATGAATATTCCAAGATAAGGGAAAAAAAGACATAACCATTGAGAGAGGGAAGTTTGAATTCTGATATTTATACAACATGAAAGACAGACTTGTCAATGTAAATATTTTATTGAACATGAAATGGTACAGAAGTGCTTTAAGAGCTTGTAGGAACTAAATTTCATTTGTGGCTTTTCATCAATATATTGCATGGCAAGAATAGTGTTGCACATTTTAATTGATTTGGCTTCAAACATTCCCAATATACAACTTTTGAATATGATTTTATTTCTGTGTAACATCATTTCTCTTTTCTGCATAGAATTAGTTTTACATCATTGGCTCTTTTCAAATGTCAAGATACATCGTGACTTCTAACCTTCATAACTATGATGTGATTTCAAGCAGAAAATGGACCTCTACCATCAGAGACAAAGAGAAGAACAGGTTGACTCCTGTGAGTATATATTTAATTTAACTGCTATCATTTATGTCTTATTTTTCAGGTTCAGCAAAAATCTTGTACTTCAAAGATCACCATTGCTTAATAGTATCTTTGCCGATGTTAGATTGTTGAAGCTCTCAGCACAGGTTACCTAGGGCCTGACTACTCTCAGGTTAGACTTTCGTTCTACTATTTTGTTAAGTCATCCAAAAGTAATTTGATTTAGCTGATTATTGGAGTATTTATCACAGCCAAAAGAATTTTCTGAGATATCTTTGAAGGACATTGACCAGTTAGCTAGCAGTTCTTTTCCTCTTTGTATGCGCCATTTGTTTGATAAGGTAGTAGATCTTTATATGTATGAATCTTAACTAATTGAATATCTATTATAATCTTAACAGCTGGACTTATATATGGTTTTGTGCCTGCAGTTAAGAGAAAATCACCATTTAAAACATGGAGGAAGAATGCAACTTGGCCTTTTCCTTAAGGTATTCTTTTTTACTTTAATGTTATCATATTTCACTTGTCCACTGGTATGTTCTACATTATTTGACAGTTAATACATGTGGTGATTAGAGAAACATCAGAGATACAATAAGTTTTATTACTTTCGAAACTACATGTAAATGAATTTTCATTTTCTAAACATATATAACCGTCATTTACTTTATTGAAATCTTTCTATGATATGATTACATCTTTTGAGAAGCGCATAGCAACCATATTGTACTAAAATATTCTCTATTTTTATTTTTTATTTTAATACTTCTTTACATTTGAATTTTGTTTCCTTTTAGAAAAATAGATATTTTATGAAATATCTAATAAAATTTGAGCATATAATAGCATCACTATTTTCTCAAATTTCATTTTTGTATTTAATATGTTTCTATTTATTTACTCTTTTACATTGTTTTTTTTTTTTGGTTTTTTATTGATTCTGATCTCACTGATCAGATGAGATCTATGTACTTATAGAAAAAAGTACATGATTTGCCATATAAGTTCTTGTTGACCTTCTTGTTATGATTTAGGTTGAAATGATAATTCTCAGGTTTTCTGGTAACTTGCTAATATGTCAAATTGTTTTTTTTTCCCTTTGCAGGCTGTAGGCTTAAAATTGGAAGATGCTCTTGCATTCTGGAAATCAGAGTTTTCTCAGAAGGTTTTTCTGCATTAAATTGTTTTCTGAGTTTGTGATTTTGCTTTAGGTTTTATCTTCTGCATTTTAGATGGATAACTCTATCACAAGTATTCTCAAATACGATGGAGCATGCTTGAATTATGAGATTTTTAATTCCCCCTCCTTTTTTTTCCCTAAATTAAACCATGTTGCACTCTGATGTGGGAAAGATCCCTCTTTTTGTATTTTTCGGCTAGAAAATTAGGTAGGAGGTCGTAGAGATGCATCAATTCAATTGTATAGCAATTGATTTATCTTGTACTCTTGCTGTTTATAGGTTTTATATAGTCTAGGTTGTTTGGAAAGGCAATTTGATTTGCCTGAGTTTAAACATTATTTAAGATAACCCCTATTTTGAGTGAAAAGAATTAGGTTAGCTGAGTTTGTGCTTTTCTCTTTTGAAAGATCATTCATTTAGTAAGATTTTCTGGCCATATAAGTGCTTAAATCTCCTGCTTTGAACACTAAGAAGACATTAAAATTGAAAATTATGCATTTAGATAAGTTGCACCACACTTTGTAGGTTCATTTCTTATATCTTCTGCTGACATTAGTTGTTACATATTGACACAGATTGGTGCTGAGAGATTTGACAAGGAATATTCATACAGCATACGCCACAACTATGGAAAAGAAGGAAAAAGAACTGTATGCTACCCTGCTTAATAAATATCTTTAGAATTGGCAAATGGCTGATTTTGCTTTCATGTTATCTAATTCTATCAGGATTATACACCTTATGCCTGTCACAAAATTATTTCTTCAACTCCTAGTGTTGGTGATCACCATGGTTGTCCTTACCGGCATTTCAGGTGAGTTTCATGCTTGACTTATTTGATCTGCACCATCTAGTATTTAGCTGTTATTGTCCAAGTCCTTTAGATGGCATCATAGCTTCATAAAAAATGTGCTCGCTTTGATGTATATAATATGTATTATTAGATGCAACTTTTGTATGGATATGGCTTGGTTGCTTTATGGATAAAATAGAAGTTTATGATTGTTTTAAATATTAGTACCTAAACAGTAGATCTTCTGCATGCCTAAATAGGTAATGGCATGATTTTGGTCCCCCACATGAAAAAGGCAAAGGTAAGAGAAAAGAACTAATATCATATGGATATTGGCCGATTGTCCTCAATAGTTTGACAAAGTTAGCTAGTATAGAATAAGAATATTATGCATACTGTTCCCCTGATTAAAGATATATACAAGGGATAGAAGGTTCTCATAATAATATAATTCGACACCTTTTGCCATGTAACTATATTTTTGTAGCTGGACTTCTCAGATGGTGAACTGGAGAGGAACCTTGTTAAAAACACAACATATTGATATGTCTACTTGAAACAGCGATAGCATGTGAATCATACAAGTGTAGGTTGGTTGACTTGTTTAATCAAAAGTCTGATGTGCTTTACTTCTTGGTGTATATCTATTATAACTCTGCAATGCACACAATACACTGTGAAAGTATCCGAGCCGCACAGAAGAGTATTGTGCATATGTTGCAAATCTTTTGTTTCTCCATCATAGTTGTCTGTAACTGTCATTCTCTTTTTAACAGCGAGGAAAACTTGAGGGCTGCTCTTGGTAAAATGGGGGTTGGTGGACGTTCATTAGATGATATATTGGATAAAGTACGGAGCCGGCATTATCAGGTATTCAAATTGGAAATCGTGAGCTCAATCTGGTGATATCTTGATTTCTTACGTTCTGTTCACCTGAAACTTCTTTAACTGATAATGTGAACATTATCAGGTAGCTTGTACATTGACCTTTGAGGCTGTCCATGCTGCCTCATGTGATAGTGGGATAAACCACCCCAATCAGTACTTCGAAGCAAGCCAAAAGACTTTACAAACCACGGTAAGTTGAAAATAACTTTGGGATGTCATATATCTTTGCCTGCCATTTCTTTCAGAAACTAATATTGCACTTTCCCTTTGTGATCAAGATGACGAAATTTCTTACGTAACAGTGAACATAAGCCTTTTGTTTTCAGAACCAACACCCTAAGTTTGATTTATTTCTTGCTTTACAGAGGCAAGCCACGAGCTGACTTACCCAAAATTTTTCAGGTTTTAGTTCTGCTTTGATATTTCATATGTACTTTAATTAGTTCTGATGCCATGTAGTGACTCAACATTAATAATGCAAGATATCAAACCTTCATGACACAGTGAAAGGTTTTACTGCAAGATTTTACACCTCCACTGGATGCAGAGTAGGTCAAGACCAACTTACTTTCCCATCACATGGGTGGTGGCTCCCCCTTCCTACCAATGTGTGATGATGATCAGAACAATATGGAGATTTATGAATCCGTGCTACATTGAGCTTGTCATTTCCGCTGTCCTACTAGACTGATCTTGTGGTTTCATGATGAAATATAAGTTACTTCTCCATGTTAATATGGCAGTTCTTGGTTTTGAAATTTTATGACATGTTGGCCATTTTGTTGTAATATGCTCTTCCAGGGTGTGGCCTCTTATCAATCACATTTTCTGTGAATCCTAAAAGTGACCTTGCTAGATTTGTTTCCTTGTTGTGGCCTCTTATCAATCAAAAAGAGTCCAACAAGATTTGTTCCCTTGATGTGGCCTCTTCCGTACCTTAAATCTCTCCTATCTACCATCCTTTAAACTGCATATGAATACCTTATAAAACATGTGTTAAGACTTCAAGAGTGCCCAAAAAGTAGTTGTCTTTTCTTTATATTTTATTAGAGTACATCAGAGAATTCATCACAGATTTTGCTTACATAGTTGGTTTCTCTCCGGCTTAAGGAACTATAAGAAAACATGGTTAGTATATTAAGTATGAGAAAGAAGTTATGAAGGGATACAATAGTGTGCTTGAAAATGTGCCAAAAGTGAAGAAGACAAAATAGCAGTTCATTCCCCATCATTCTCACCACCAGCATTGCCTCAGCAAAAAGGGAGAGTTGAAGAAGCCACATGAATTGCTGCTGCTAAAATTGAAGAAACAATATCAGTTCATTCCCCATCATTCTCACCACCGCAGAATGGGAGGTCATCACTTTGTTTCATGCCATGCCTTTGGGGAGAAGGAAGTGGGTTTCGATTTGAATTCGTATTGATAGAAATATCGCATATGGCCAATGATAAATGATAAAATCAATATGTGATTAATGATAAATCATATGATATTTTCGTTAGTAGAGTTAAAAGACATAGGAAGAAATAAAATTAAATATTTTATTTTAATAAGTATAAAGATTTTAATATAATTTTTAAAAATATAAAGAATAAAATATTAAAAATAATTAATTATATGAGTAATCTATAATTAACCTAAATGATATTTAATCTCAAGATCTTATCATCAATAATAAATAAATTGAATCAGTCTTTTGCTTTACAAGTGGATGGATTTGATATATGATCAGCATACTACTACTACTACTACTTTAATTCCATGATTAGAATTTAATGATGATTGTTAAACACGACACAATCACTAGCCGTTCCGTGTTACATTTCCACATAGATATCATAAATTCGGAGCAATCTTTGTCGAACGAGACCAAATCATAACCGTCCTTTTCGACATTACTTCCCGGGAAAGAAAGCATCGTATTTTCCAAAAGGAAGATAGATTTTGATCTTTCTATCACGTTTATTATCAGGTTATTTATTTACTTAATAATTGGATTAGATAAAACGTCGAGATCATATGATATTAGTTTCTCTGTTCCTGTCGTCGGATTCGATGTGAGCAGTTGGATGTTTGGAAGCGCTACATAAAGCCCTCTTCGAGCTGCTTCTCTTCATGAGCTTTTTGCTTGCCTTCCCCTCTCTCACTGCTTCTCTTCATGAGCTTTTTGCTTGGCTTCCCCTCTCTCACTGCTTCTCTCAACACGTTCGAGGCCTTTCTGCAACTCCGACCTGTGCTTTGGTCTCCTTCGCGGAACGAAAGGCTGTTTTCTTCCTGTTGGAGAGAGCGAAAATGGAGGTTTCGTCCTCGGGGGCGCGGAAGAGGGCGCAACCGCCGAGCACGGCGAGCCGGAACCGGGTTTGGTGCTTGGTCGACGGATGCAGGTCCGATCTGAGGAACTGCAGGGAGTATCACCGGCGCCACAAGGTCTGCGAGCTCCACTCCAAGACTCCGGTGGTGATGGTGGGCGGCGTGGAGCAGCGCTTCTGTCAGCAGTGCAGCAGGTAAAAGCGGCACGGTGACCAATGACATTCCGCCACGCGGCCCTGCATTTGCTTCGTCAATCTGATTAGTTAGCAGCTTATGCTAATATTTTTATAATATTTAATACTTAAATACTTATACTAAAATATTATTAAATATTATTTTATTTTATTTTATTTTATTTTATTTTTATAAATATAGGGATCAAAATACTAAAAATAATTAATTATAAGAACTAATATATAATCTCTCTCTCTCTCTCTCTCTCTCTCTCTCTCTCTTGTTGATGATAGTGACTGGTGAGATGAATGATGCCTGCAGGTTTCACCCGCTGGTGGAGTTCGATGAGGTGAAACGAAGCTGTCGGAAACGCTTGGACGGACACAACCAGCGCAGGAGAAAGCCTCGATCAGAAGAAGCATCCACTGCTTCTGCTTGCCTGCATCCACTTCCACCAGGTTTCATCTTTTCATCGCTCGTCTCCCTTTCCTTCAACCGCACATGTGATGACTATTTCTAAGCTGATGCCTCACTGAGCATATAAAACAGAGCATCATCAACTAGTGATGGAGCTCCATACAGCCTCTTGGAGTCTTCTAATGGCCCAAACTTTGCATGCAGCGAGCGGGTTCTCTATGTATCCTCTCACGTCGCTCTTGGAGTCTGCTAGTGCCGAGAAAGATGCACGGGAACAGCGTTTCGCTCCATCCTTCTCCCACGGCTACGAAGAAGGCGAAGCTGCCTTCTGCCGCACAGCAGTGGACGAATGCGGTGGATCGACCCGAGTTCTGCACTCCCATCGTGTTCTCTCTCTTCTGTCATCGACGTCTCAAGCTTCGATCGCAAACGTTGGCCGAATGCTGCCTGCTGATACGAGTCCCATGGATCAGCCCCTTCTCTCTGGTTCTCAAGCCTCGAGCGGTGTGCTGTCGACAGGGTTCTCTTGTTCGAGGATGGAGGACGAGCGAGTAGGCGGAGTTGTAGTCTCTGATACTGATGCCGATCTCCAATGCATGTTTCTCGTAGAGGGCGAGGAGTCCTTGGACGAGCCTCCCGATCTCTTCCCTTCTATTGGCGGTAGTAAACATCTGTAATTTTTTGATTGAATATTTATATTTATATAAAGTCGATGAAACGAGATTAAATATTTCACTTTCGTAAGTATAAATATTCTAATATAATTTTTAAAAATAATATTTTACTTTCATAAGTATTAATTTAAAAGTATAATGATGGAGATACTAAAGATAACTAATACTCTCTATAATTAGCCCCAAAATGATGGAGGTCCTAAAATAGATGGAGTGCACCTCAACTTGGTAAGTAAGAAAGCAGTAGTATCTAATATGTCCAATGTTATTTGACTAAATTACTGCTTACTATTTATATATTATTTATTTTCCTGATTAAGAGAGCTTTTTATATTCAAGATTTATGATTGATATTTTTATCATCTTAAATAATATTCACATCTATATCCAGGCGAACCTAATTCAGAACTGCTGGATTATTTTGAGACATTCTATCACATCCATCTTGATAGAAAATATACTATGAATGATGACTAGCTTATTGGTCTCTCAGTTGGAAAGTATACAAGCAACAGCAACTGGACAAGAAAACAAAAAAATACTTCATTGATTAGATCTGAAACAATCACCCACTCCAGAAAATTTAAGTAGAGGAGCAACATTCTCTCTCAACAAATTGGACAATCTGTGGAAAGATGAAAAAGAAAGAAAGCTGCTCAAGAAACAATATGAAAATACATGTTCAAGGCTTAATCACCATGCTTTTGCCTGTAGGGTTGTTTAACTAATAAAAGCAGTGAAATGACTTGGTTTCTGAAACAAACAATAGAAGGGATGGTTAGATTTCAGTCACAAGGAAACAACACAGACGTTCATTGTTATATATTCACCAACAAACAAAAAACATTTGGTCTTAGATGCCAAAAATACACATCGAGTGGTCGCTGCTTATTTCCTCCAACTGTGCCGGCAAAATGCTCTTCCTTCAAAGAGAAATATTTAGGGCCTTCTTCATCTTCTCAACCTCCAAGTAAACCGTGGAATATGGAAGGAATTCAGAAAAATGGCTCTGCATAAGATCATTAATGGCCACAGCTAGTTTTGGAATCTCTAAGATTTCTTCGTGGGTAAGCTTTCGAACAAAACGAGCTGGATTGCCGGCCCATAGCTCACCGGTTGGAATCCTACGACCAGGGGGGAGCACAGATCCAGATTCAAGGATGGAATTGGTCTCCACCAATGATCCTTCCATAAGAATAGAGTGCTGACCGATTATACATTCTGGCTCGATTGTGCATGAACGAAGCAGACTGTAAGCACCAAGAGTAACGTATCGCTCCACTAATGTTTCAGCTGGAAGCCCTACAACATAGAAGCATGCTGGAGATGAGTTTTTTTTTTTTCAAGGAAATAGCTAACCAATTCACCGACAAGGCAGAACCAGGAAGAATGCAGCCTTGCCAACAGATTAAACTCTGTACAATATTTACTACATATTTTTAAGTTAACAAAAAGGTGAGCCAACAGATCGTCATAAGTGTCCTTCACAGCAAGTCAACTAAAGATTACTAAACACATCAGAACAACGCCCCAAATGCTTTAGACAAATAAGAAGATAAGTGCCAAAATTTTTCTCACAGCACATGATAAGGGAGGCTGAACCCAATTATCCAGGCCATTGCCAACTGCACTATAGAAGACAAACATGCAGAGAGTCTGTGAAGAGATATTGAGAAGACACAGAGAGTGTCAGACAAAAAAGTACCTAAAAACAACACAGTACGGAAGATCAATGTTTCACCATGTTGGGGAGTTAGCAATCAGCAGCATTTAGACCCCAATCATCTGTTAATATCTTTAACATCAAAGCACCTGTTCGCATTAGTGAGAGATGTACCAAGGAAGCAAATGGCACTTCCCTATACAGAAGAAGTGCCCTGAAACAATAATGGTCCAGAACATCACAGCAGTCTCCAACACTGTGGTACCATTAACCGAACACAACCAACAAATGGTTAGGTTACATGAAAGGTTGAAATTTAGATACGGAACACGGCTGCTTTTAATTGATTATTTATCCTGTGCTTCTAATGCACAGAGTCTTAATCTATAACAGTAATTTAAACATGAGCCTGAGCAAACATAAAAAACAATATATCTGTCAAAGAGAAAGTAGATGTTATTAACAAAGGAAAAATTGCAAATGCAAGTAATATAACAAGAAGAGGCATGGGTAGATAGCTAACAGAAGACTTGGATTTAAAGAGTCAAAGCAGTGACTCTTTCTGATATAGTTACTTTTTCATTGTTTTATATGGAATTGTGTATTTTAAGTTACATAATAAGCAAAAAATATAAGAGGTACTTGTGGAAGAATGGTATCAGCATATCCTATCGACAAAGTCCTAGCTGGCTTGTGCCCAAATAGAAAGTTCAAATATGATTGCATGAGCGTAAAACAATACAAACTATATTATCTAGAAATATGAAAATTATCTTTTAGAAAATATATATGGATGGCTAGTAAGCACCAAACAATCTGAAGTATCATGAATAGTCATGAAAGTGCCATTTCTCGCTTCGAGCTAGCTTGCAGTACTCAAGGATAAAAGCTCAAGGCAGGAACCAACCAAACATTCAATTTTATTTTCCTACATCTGATACTATTAAGTGTAATCATCAGATCAAACAGGTCATCGAACCAGGCAAGCTCCAGTTCATCGAGCACTGGTCAAACTGATGTACCAACTAGTTGAATTGCAGATTCAATAAAAATATATACATGTATATATATAATATTTTCATATCTATTCTATTTTTTTATTTTCTCCTTTCCATTTCCTTTACTTTTGTTTTTGCATTCCTTTTATTATTCGTCATTCTTTTCCCACTTCCTCTTCACCCTCACATTTTACCTCTCCTTCATTTGCTCTTCTTCTCTCTGCACTTCTCCTCCTCCACTCCCACTTAATCTTCTTCTTCCTGCCCTCTTCCTCTTTTTCTTTTCCTTCCACTCCTCCTATTCTTCTTTCTCTGCACCTCCCTTTATAATTTGACCTCTTTGCCTTTTCCTCCCTAGAACAATGATGATCCTAGAAATTTGAGAAGAAAAAAAAACATTTGCAATCCTTTCAGGCTTTCAGCTTCTCCTTAAATCTTCTATCATACTAATTACCCAGAGTGAAATTCTTTGGTCACCATTCATGCCAGTCTCTGCCACCGTATAAATACATGAATTCTCTCTTAACCTTTAATGATCAATCCATGTCATGCACGTTATGCATAACTACAAAATTTATTTTTGTGTATATGTAAAAAACATACTGTCAAAAAACCTTATTCTTGGTCACCTCACAGCATCAAGATTGGGGCTTTAGTTAATTAGTAGCTGGCTCTTCCATCTGCAAATCTTATTTGGATGACATAAATCTGGCATTTCACTTACAGTACTAGTTATTTTTTATTAGGCTGAGTAGGACCACATGTACCCTGTTTAGTCATTTTGTGGTTTAATGTACAGATGAACTTTCTTCTGACTGCATCTGAGCTTTCAATTTTCTTCAAAGGGAACAACTCACAGGATGTGAAACTGTTTTCCTTCATGCAATTTTTGCTAATGATAGACAACCAAAACAATAATAACTGTTCATAGGATAAATCCATTTTGCATTTATGCGACCTATTATTAGTATTCACCAACCATTATCTTCGTCAAATCCAATATCCACAATCTCTAAGATATAAGCAAAATTATCCATGGCATCGATCCATGTGTATATTACTGCAGGTACTAATGTCCACCATCCTGGACCAGTGAAGCAAAAAAGGCAGATAAAACTTTGATCAAGGATATCAAACTTGATCGGGTGCTGCTTATTAAGGTTAAGGATAAGGGTTTAACTTAAGGCCTAAAATTGCCAGAAATCAGTTGTCTCAGGGACAAATGACGTCTATAGTGCCCTATAAATGTGAGACATTTTCATAAGTACAATATATAATAAATTCTTAGGCAAACAAGTCGTCCAAGTTCCAACATGTAGAACAGAGTGGGAATGGTTGTATCCATGATATCATGTAGATAGATTTGCCATTCCAATATTTTTCTTGAAGTTTATGCATGAGCACCAGTCCAATAAGATGATATAGAGTACCATCATAGATGTCTAGGATTGGCCTCACCTAAGAAAGTGAAATTCCCAAACTATTTCTGTAACAATAAAAACCGTCATAATCCCTTGAAAGAGATGTACAGAGTGTAGTTCCTTCATGGAAAGACATTTTTACATCAATACAATGCATGGTTGTAAATTCTTTGGGATGCTAAAATAAAACAAAGATAAAGTAGGTTACCCAACTCAACAGAATATTCATGTGCAACACCGATTCATAATTCAATAAATCAAGTAGACGAAGAAATTATTTTACAGTCATCAAATTTCAGCTGCTACTCTGATGGTATACACTTTGGCTTGGCTTGCAATCCAAAAAAAAAATTCTCCATAAGCAAGTTTTGCTCAACTGACACTTTTCTTGCTCAATCAAAATCCCACAAACTAAAATATCAACATTTAATTCATATGAGAGAAGAGCAACCTAGCCATCCAGCTAACTGAGTTCATTCTTCATCAAACTAAGTGATTTGCCATTGGTTCGTTTACTTATAAACTAGGTCATATTCATTTCCCTTTGATGGCCTCAAATGAGCATATGACATGGACATCTGCTTCTTCACCTGTCAGCAGCAGTTTCATGGATAAATTTCCAAGTGCCTTCATTTCCGCCAGTCAGTTGTGCCATAAATAAAATTACCCCTAATCTAAGTTTAGTGTGATTGCAAAATAGAGCTTAGTGCAAAATACATGGAAAAAAACCCTAAAAGGAGACTCGTGAGGAATTCATTCAAACACCTCACAAATAATAATCATAACACTGCTCACAGATAGGCAAGTCTTTGGCCGGAGGAAGAAACTCCAATTGCAAAAGAAGAAGAATCATAAAGCATATACTATTCAAACTTAAGATTCTGGATCTAATTAAACGCACTCGAAAGACGCAACCTAGTCGACCAGTAGATTTAGATCAGGGAAAGGGGGGGGACCTGTGGGTGACTTCCAGGCGGCGTGAAGAACGCAGCGCTCCTGGACGTTGGAGCAGAAGCCGACGGTGATCTTGTTGAGGTCGCCGCGCAGGACGGCGCCGTTCCAGACAGAGGCGCCGTCGCAGACCGTCACCTGCCCGGCAAGGACGACGTTCGGGGCGACGTAGGCGTCGACAGCGATATTGGGCACCCACTGCCCCAGAGGGATGATCCGGCGCTGCCCCCGGTAGTCCCACTTCACGCGATCCGACGGCGTCAGCGGCGGCCCCGCAGCCGGTGACACCGCCGGCGCGGCGGCCTCGGCGGAGAGGAGGCGGCGAAGGGGGACGAGTCGGGATGGATCGGCTAGAGTTCTTCGTGACAGACGAGCGAGGGCCGCCGCCATTTCCGATGCTCTTTTCCTGTAGGAGAAGAGAGGGAGGAACGCGAAAAGGATCGCATTCGCGTGCGGTTCACAATACATGAATGTACAATGCAACAATTGCATCGATGTGGATTCATTGGACCGGGTCAGTTCGGATCGGGTCGTGTTGGATCGGATTGGGACGGACCGAGTTCGGTCGGGTCGGCCTTTGAGTTATTCTCGTCTCTTCCCCTTCGTCTACATTCTCTCCGTGTTCCGGTGATGGAAGGCGAGGGTCAGACCTCGAGTCTCCTTTACGAGGTCTTCTCTCCATTGTCTTCGTCATCCTCCGCTCCCTCCAACTCGCCATTCCCACCACCACCTTCTTCTTGGCCTTCGCATCGGAGCTGCTCCCGTACCATGGCACTCCACTGATTCCGCGTTCATGCTGCTGAGATTGTCGATGCCGCTGATTCTCGCTAGTTCCGTCACGTTCGTCATCGGGTTCATGTTGATTCCCTGGGTGCTGGGGATGCTGACCGTGTTCTACTTGGCCGGGATCGTCTCGAATCTGTCGGTTTTGGGGCGAGCCATCCTTTTCCCATCCAGCCTCTTCGGCCCAATGGTGGTCAAAGGTGAGATCTTTCCTCAGTTGTTTGGTCTTTTTGATCGTTGAAGTTGTTTATTGTTACCACTTCCATGAAAATTCGGAACTTTTCATTCTCTTCTTTGGACTACCTTCCCTGACACATGTTTCTGGATGTTCGTAGTTTATAGTATGAACTTCATGCGGCACGTTTTCCTCTCTATGTATCAGTGTCTTCCATCAGTCGTAGATCTTAACAAAATGCCTTTTTTCATCATTAATGAAAATTACAGTTCACTTTGTCTGGGAATTTTTTTTCTTTTTTTTTTTCTTTATTGGTGATTTCTCCTTGTTTTTTAGTAGGAAATTAGTGGGCTAAATGAAATCTTTTCTTACCACAAAAGACTACTATGATCGAATCAATAGGGTTTTTAAAAATATTTCAGCCTAAGGTCCATCAGTTGATATGTAGATCCAATTATTTTTTCATCGTTTCACATTGCTTTATATGAACATAATTAGATCATAAACCTTCATATACAATAGGATGCACATCCATACTTCTGGTTACCTCTACTATAGAATTGGATTGTTCTAACCAAAGGCACAATAGGAGAGAATCTGTAGCTTTCTCTCTTTGTTGGTCCCTGCATTTTAATTCTTTTCCTGCTTGCTGTGCTTTTTTCTTGTGCTGTCCCTTTCGTCGGTTGTTGCTAAAGCTATGTAATCTTATAAAATAAGCCATTATTTTGGTTGTCAATCACAACATAACTCCCTATATTGTCCCTAGGATATTTCCTACCTTATCTTTAATCACTTCCATCTAGTATATGGCCAATCACAAACAGGCTAGGTTTTTTCTTGTTGGATTATCATTTCTTTCAGATGAAGTCACTCTTCATTGACTTCATTTTCCCAGTGACATGGCGTGTCATTTCCATGCCAAGCTTTTTCCAAGTCTCTAATTCAACCTTCATCAGGAACCATGCATGCAGACAAAAACATGAGTACTAGATTGAGATAAAGAAGAAAAAGCAGGATTTATGATAGATTTTATTTTTACAAGATCATCACTGATTTATGTTTTAGTATCTTTTATATATATATATATATATATATATATATGTATGTATGTATGTACGTATGTTTGTATACATACATATGTATGTATGTATTGCATGGTGATTTATAAATCATAGTAAAGGATTTAGTTCTCCCATGACATTAATCAAAGAGATCTCTCTGACATATTCAACATGAGGATTACTGTCTGGCATGATTAGTACATATAGATGATGCAAGAGTCCAAACTACAGTAGTTTGAATGAAATTTAAAAAGATCAACGATATCAGGGAGCTTTAAAATTTTAATTATTTTTTCTTTGTCAAAAAGAAAAGGATACAAAACACTCTTATGGTAGATGGAACAGATTCAGTGAACTTTTAATGGTGATCAGTTAGCTGTCTTTACGGAAATCTTGGGAAGATTTCGTTCTAAGGATTTAAGTGATTGCAGATCATGTATAATTACTTATTTAATTTGATTGTGAATGTTCTATTATCAAGATCACCACTTAGCAACAAGAAATTGTTTGCCCTGTATGACAAGTATTAAATAAAGATTGCTGATTGATTGACTTTGTTCTTCCCTTGTATACAAAGATGAAATTTGCTCAATCACAAAATCATGGTAGTACCTAAAGAAATTTATAATGTAATAGCCTGAAGCTTCTCTGGAGATGACATTACATCGTGAAATGTCGATTCTCTTTTTAGTGGCTTGGTCTTCTGAATCTGCTTGGTCTTATAATATATCTTATAATCAGCAAATTATCTTATAATCTTATAATATATCTGCTTGATAACAAATGATCTATAGGGTTCCATGAAAATCCTCTAATTAGTCATCTTTTGATGTTTGTAGATCATTCACATTTGCTCTAAATTTGTCTATTTTAGCAACTGAGGCAAGTTCCAAATACAGCATGGTATTGCAGACCAACTATTGTCTAAACTTCCAACGGATTAGAAGATCTCTGCTGGGAATGCAGGCTGTCTTGTATTGGTTGTCTGTAGACAGTTGGGTGCCTGCTATTTTAACTGTTCTTCGTGCCACTCAATATGAGGTCTGGACCTCTAATCTACTATGTTTGACTTGTAAACTTGTTGTTTCATTTATTTGTCTTCTAACATGGTATAACATATTCCATAAATTTTACACACCCAATTAATATAGTATTATGATTCTAATCTGCTATATTACACTGCCATGAATGTAGTATTATGTTTCAAATTAATATTATGATCTCCATAGTGATGCTTAAATGCTATCTCTTGCTTGCTAGTTTGGAAGTTTGTAGTGTAATCAATGGCTATTTAAAACTATCTTTTAATAAGATATCTAATCATTAAAATGGTTCTAAATTATTGTTCATTTTAGACTTGAAGTAAACACGACAGTTTTATAGCAAAACAATCAAATAGTACAAGTTGACTTTGCCATACAATAACAATAAATAAATGTAAATGTCAAGACTACTGCTTTACTTTTAGTAAAATATAAGTGAATAAATCAAAGAAACATGGGGTTTGTAGACTTGCAATGCTTTGATTGGTGTTTAGAAGTTCTTTTGGAATCAGAATCGATCACATTAACAAAGTGAAACAAAATGAAGCTTTGCTCAATGAATCAGAGAATTAGGTGGAAACATTCATATTACCCAGAAGGTTTTCCTATTATGCGATTCGTTTTTGTTCATTCTCATATATTATTAAAGTTTATCCAACAATCATAAAGTTCACAATGGTTTCAACATCAGGCTAAGATTTGGTACAATCCCTATGAGTTAGTGCCAGGGCACAGGTGATGCTCCATGCATCTGGCGCACCCAGTTCTTTTGTCATTTTGCAATGATACTTTACTTTATCTAAGCAATCTCCACATAGTATCAGTGACAAAGAAAGCATGTAGATAGCTTTTCCAAAAGATCATTTAATTTACTGTGCTACACTGAGAAAAGAAGCTTTTAGGCCTCCAATGGCAATGAATTAGTGTAAAGCATGCATTCCATTCAACCGAAAAAAGCAATCGTTCCTTTCTGTTTTTATTCTTTGGCCTCCCTGTTTGCTTTCTTATTGCTTGAGTTCTACATCTCTTTCTGAAACCTTTATGATTGCCACTAGTATATTAGCCTACGCTGAGAAGAAGGAACAAAGATTCAAAATTCTGCAAGGCCTGGAACCAAGAGAGAGATGACTACTGATTGGGGGCCGGTGATTGCCGCGGTGGTACTCTTCATCCTCCTATCGCCAGGGCTGTTGTTTCAGCTGCCGGCGAGGACAAGGGTGATTGAGTTTGGCAACATGTACACTAGTGGGATCTCAATTCTGGTCCATGGCATTCTCTTCTTTGCAATCTTAACCATCCTGGTGATTGCCATAGGTGTTCATCTGCATGTTGGCTGATCTGATCACAGGTGGTGTAAGTGTTCGCATTCAACTTAGTTTTGTCATCTTTAACAGTGGTTGTCTGATGTTTGTACAATGCAAAGCTCAAGAACAAGCACTAGTCATTTAAATGGTTTCAAATCTGATGAAGAGTTGGATAGTTTTGTTTGAAACGACTTCGTTTCTATTGTTCCTTGAAAGTCCTAATAAGAAATTATTACCTTGCTTATGTATTCTGGGATGATTAATTCCCTTAAGGTATTCCTTAATTAAACTTCTCTTATGATGCTTCTTGTTCAACAAGCATTTTTTACCTCTGATATTGGATTCATGATGTTACTTGGTCAATCTTGATCGTCAATCGAACATGATGAAATTATTGCATCTGAAAAAGGTTTTATTGGATCAGCATTTCTTACGAGTTTCCTCCGACGATCAAGTTAATCTCGGTTCGTGGACAAAAAAATGTTCATAAACAGTTTAGCATTCGGAAGCCTAGTAAACATAACTGTATTTCATATTTCAATGGCCATATCACTACTCATAGCAATTCATTTCACAAACAACATAGTGAACATCTACAGTAAGAAAAGTTCCTTCAAGAAGGATTTGGTGCTTCAAGTATATCCATCAACACATATGCATCATCATCAAATAGTCCATGTTATTTTTCCAGCCAAAGTTCATATCTTTCAATGGCCTTAGCAGCAGTGGATCAGGCAGATCTGAGCAGGTTCTTGAACCAGTTAACAGAGTTCTTTGGGTACCTCTTGAGGTTATCTTTGTAATCCACAAAGTATAGGCCAAACCTTGAAGTATACCCTGCAGCCCATTCCCAGTTGTCAAGAAGAGACCACACAAAGTATCCCTTCACATTGCAGCCATCCTCCCTGCAAGACAAGTTCAAAGAATCAGCTCAATTAAAATCCTTGCTGCTACAAAATATAAATTGAACAGCAACAGCAGGTTAGCTATAAATGTTTATTTGAATTTTGAACCATATAGGAATTTCTCAAACATGTGCTTTTCAACCATGCACTGAAAGATATTAGGCAATTGTATATTATGAAGGCATGTTGATATAGTTACAGTATCTTTCTTTACATGATCATTCTCTATTTGTAGCTTATCCAGAATGACTTGATGATGAGAAAAATGGTCTTCAAAACTTAAATAGCACTCAGTTATTATACCTTCTAATCTCATTGTGAAGATTCAGGTTTAGTAATATCAAAGAATTATCATACCTTATGGAGGCAGCCAAGTTTGAGAGATAGTCACCATGGTATTTGATTCTTTTATCATCCTTGAGAGCATGCTCAATGGAGATAAATGGGTTGTTGAAATCATCCATCCCTTCACATCAGAAATAAAAGATGGATGAGAATTCAACTCCCAGAATTTGAATGGGACCAAAGACAGATACCATTCTCTGTGATGATCACTGAGGGATTGTAATACTTGTCCTTGATGTAGTTCATCAGGCTTCTGATCCCCTGAGGTACTATATAAAGCCATATGGAAGAAGCCTGCATTCCCAAACACACCATATGATTTTGACTTCTGACTACAAGAATGCTGTTAATGCCTTCAAGCAGTGTAAATTGAGACAAAAAATTGTACATGTTAACAAAGAATCAGTATAATGTTAATTAATTCCATGTCTATTAGTGATTTCCAATCTTATGCAAATAATCTAAATTTGCCTAAATGTCAAAAAGATAATAATAATAACGAGCTAATTATATATTACCTCCTCATGTAATTAACTATTTTTTATCATTTCGATCCCTACACTTTCAAAAGTTATATTAAGATTTCTATACTTACCAAAGTAAAACATTTAATCTCGTTTCTCTCATGTCATCAATTTTGCTGACGAAAATATCATACATGCTCAGTAATAAATCCTATAGTATTTTCATCAGAGTCGATGGCGTAAGGAAAAATAAGACTAAATATTTCACTTTCATAAGTATAAGATTTCAAATATAATTTTTATATTTAAAATATAAGAATTAAAATACTAAAGATAACTAATTACGGAGATAATCTATAATTAGTTTAAAAATAAATTATTAAGAAACAAAAAAACAAACCCTTGCCTTATCTCCAATTGCTTTTCCATCCTTGAAGGCTGCATGTCATGAAGAAATAAGTGCATCAGGAAATCAAAGTGAAAACATCAAATATATTCCAAATATACTGATCAAACCTTTATAACTCAGTTCATCCCTTGATATATAATCAAACTTGGGATGATACAACGATATATCTCTAACCCAATCTACAGAGCAAATCATTCAATGAATCAATCAGAAACTAGGTTGACTTTAATAATATTTCTCATCATCCCATCAACTTGTTGAGCTTTAGTCATCCGTCTAAAATGTTTAAGATAAAATTACTAATTATAATTCAATTCAGATCTTCTCTTCCAAGCAAGATCTACATTTGGATTCTTTTCTTTATCCGAGCATAATCTCATCCATTACCACTTGCTTGATTGCTTGAAGAACGAGCAACTCAGAAACTTGAGCTACACTTGGAGTAGAAAGGAAAAAAGCAAGAGACTCACGCAGAGTTATGGTACCAGAATCTGCCAGTGTATCATTGAGCAAGAACCCAAGTATATTAGTTGAATTGTGCTTTGCGTAATAGGTGGTGTAATGGTTCACTCCAACGAAGTCCAAGGATCCCTTGACGAGAGCAGCCTCAGCTGCTGAGAACCTTGGTAGCCTCTCTCCCACTCTCGTCCTCATCGACCTCGGATACTCCCCGACGAACAATGGATCCATTAACCTGCCATTGAATTGAAACAACGAGGTTTTCTGTGATTGCTCTCGTCGTACGGATCATCAGGCGCGAAAGAAAGAGTCACCATCCAAGTTGGAAATCCATCGCTCTCTGTGTCGCATCGATGTCTTCAGGGGAGTCTGTCATCGGCTCGAACCACATTACGTCGAACGCCATGCCGATGGATCCTTGCTGAGTTTTCTGCGCGTCAGAACACGAATGAGTTGCGGTATCTGAATCGATGAGATAGCAGGATTGGTTCTTCTGCTTCGGTACCTTGTACTTTCTCCTGTAAATGTCGGACACGGTGGCATGAGAGAGAAGAACATGGTGAGCAACGGTGTACGGCTCTGTTGCAGAGTTCCCTGCTCTGCAGAGGAAGTGGAGGAGGGTGGAGCAGCGCCCGGGCGCGTGGAGGCCGACGTCGTAGCCTTGGATTGCGAAGGTGTGTGGCTCGTTGAAGGTGATCCAATGCTTGACTCGGTCCCCAAATGCTTTAAAGCATATCTCTGCGTAGTTTGCGAAGTCCTCTCTGCAAAATGAGCAATGGATCTCTATGCCATTTACTCGTCTGTTGGAAATGATAGAAGAAGAAGAAGAAGAAAGCATTACATGATCTGGCGATCGATCCATCCATTGTATCTGTCTTGGAGTGCTTGAGGAAGATCCCAGTGATAGAGAGTCACGTAAGGCTGAATCCCTGCACATAATTCATGTAGTGTTTGATCTCTAACGTGTGGTTGTAATGGTTTGCATGAACAGCTGCTGCTGTTGTTAGCCAACCTTTGGCGAGCAGTGCGTTGATCTCTTCATTGTAATGGTCGATCCCTGCTTGGTTAACCTCTCCTGCTCCATCTGCACAGCCATGGAGAACAAACCATGAGATCACTGCATCATCAAAGGACGTGTGATCAGAGAATGAGCTGTTTTACTTGGCAGAATGCGTGACCATGCAATGGAGAACCTGTAAGCATCCATTCCCATGTCTGCCATGAGTTGTATGTCATCCTGCAGTTGTAATGAACTTATCACTTCATGGTTCATAATTTTGGGAGAATTTTCTGTAAACACTTGCATGAAATCTATGGTATTGATCGACTGCGACGTCGGCATTGCTGAAATCAATCACCTTCCCTGCAAAATTTCTGATCAGGTAAGAAGAGTTACCATTAGTTTTTGTTAGCTTGGTATCATTTTGATGCCATACCAAAGGAATGAGCAAAGGTGTCCCAAACTGTTTTCCCTCTTCCATCCTCTTCCACTGCTCCTTCATACTGAAAGAGAATAATTTCTAATCATTCCAACGAAAAATAATGAGAATTTGAATGCTCTTTTTCATCGAACTTTTAATTAGAAGCAGAATATGATCAAGAAATCAAGATACAAAGGATTGAAACAGACAAGAACGAAATCGTCACCTGGTAAGATGAGGAAGCAGTTCCAAAGACAAACCCTTGTGGAAAACTCCCTCTGCTAAGTCCTCCATCTGGTGCCAAACAATTCTTCATCTCAAACACAAGCAGGAAGACAACAAAAACCGAATGCCTGTTCATCAACATAATTGTTCTTCAATGCATATGGAGCGTGAGATCTCTTTCTATGATGCAACATTTGCATCAGATAGATTATATATAGCAATTGTGTGCAGTGAACACCACAATTGGATCAGTGTTGTGTTCTGCCCACACGCATTCTCTGAGTGTCTCATGGCCACAGGTATTTGCCTCTTGAGGCATCCATCACCATCTCACACCATTACTAGCAACCATTTCCTTCTCACATTCTTGCTCATTTAGTAAAGAACAATTTATTGATCAGCGTAAAAAGTTTACATACAATTTCAGGTAAATCGAAGCATAAAATATAGATAATAAATCATGCAATTAATTTCTTTTTTTTTTCCTATCCTTTCCCTAGGTAACAATGTTTATTTTCTGGTAATCTTGCAATCTATATGAAAAATATAAGACTCTGTCACCAAAAAGGAGGCTTTATGTGTAAAAATTGTAATGCCATTGGTTACCTGTAAGCAAAAAAGGAGATGAGTATCAACTTCTTGCTGTAAATGATATCTTGTCCAGCACAATTGAACAACCTCCTCATGCTGTGAAGAGGTTTTTGATCAGTCAAGTCTGCATACTGTGCCAATTCCTACATTTTGAAGACAGGGTGGTGGCATGAAAGTGATCATTTTCATGGGGAAGACTGTAAGGAATTATGTTGTGTACAATCTAAGAAAGACTATAAAGATTTGGATGTTACTATGTTTGAGAGATCTTTATGCTTTAACTTTCAGGATGAGTACAGACATGGAAAAAGATCAGAAAAAAGTACACAATCAATATAGATTGATAGATATTGCTAGCTTCCTAGAAAGACATGTTTAGGGTCTGGTTACTTGGGGAAGGTGATGAAGAGATAAAGATACAGATGAATACTTTGCAGTTCTCTAAATCTGAAGAGAAATGTCGAAGCCAACATTAAGATAAGAGACCAGTTCTTACAGAAAAATTACACCTATTCCAATACTTCGGTTTACTCTCATCATTTGCACAATTCTGATCCAAAAATTGTAGCCATGCTTGAAGAATAATTCAGCTAACAGAGCAAAGAACAGCATATAAGTCTGCACTGAAGTCATCAGCAGCAGTTCAAGAATGCATAATTGTTCTCAGCCATATATGAAGCTTTTGAGGTGACAAACATCAAATCTGACAGCTTGACAGAGATGCTCAAGAGTGAAGAGAGAAAGCAAAGATGAATAGAAAGATAATACATAATCAAAGTGGCAACAGGGATAATTTGTGTAAAAACATTGTGTTAATGGAATCCAAAAACCCGAAAACTGAAGCTGGTTCAAGTCCATGTGTGCAGATCTACAATTGGATCATCCAAAGCTGTCCAACACAATTAATAGCACTCTGCCAAGATTTTTACACATACAACACAGCTATTTTAACTGAATGAATAGAATGTGTGAGAATCCATGCATGGACTCTCACATTGTAAAGACATTGAAGCATGAACAATTCCTTTATATTGAACCACAAGAATGAAATCACAGTTGAATATGAAGCTACAATAGAGCTTACTAATAAACAGCACATCAACAATTAATCTCCATCATTCCTTCTTCCATAGTTTATTAGGGGGACTTAGCAACAGTTTATGCAGACTTCAACAGGTTCTTGAACCAGGTAACTGATTTCTTTGGGTATCTCTTGAGTTTATCCTTGTAATCAACAAAGTACAGGCCAAATCTAGAAGTATACCCTGCAGCCCACTCCCAGTTGTCGAGAAGAGACCAAGCAAAGTATCCCTGCACATTACACCCATCTTCCCTGCATGATAGAAGACCATAAATAATAATACATTGTTTAGCTCCAGTGTAGCAGATGTTATTCCTGATACACTCATAAGCTCCATCTAAATCCTAAATAATTTTATTCCGAATTATTCTTGTTGGCCTCATCAAGAAAGCATTATATGATAAAACCTTCTTAGGTTTATAAAAGCTAAGCTTTAATTCTAAGTCATCTTAGAGTTTGATAAATCAATACATAATTGGCATCTTTAATTCTAAGTCTCTTAGTGTTTAACCTGAAAAAGACAAGTATCTGCAAAGAGATGCTTGTATAGTTCTATCACCATTTTTGGAAGATCATTATGTATTGATAAATCAATACATAATTGGCATCATAATTAGCTAATCAATACATGATTGTCATCTTTAATTCTAAGTCTCTTAGTGTTTAACCTGAAAAAGACCAGTATCTGCAAAGAGATACTTGTATAGTTCTATCACCATTCCTTGAAGATCATTCTGTATGTAGATCTTACTCCATATTATCAAGGAGAAATGTCGTACTAAATGTACATAATTCTTAATTGCCTTTGTTTATATATCTTTTTTTCTCGTCATATACTACAGTTAATATCACTGTGACTTTATCAATCAGGCAAGAGACACATTAAGATCTGTAAGCGCACTCAACGACAAATTTACAGTGAGAAAATTACCTTATGGAGGCCAACAAGTTCAATAGATAGTCATTGTGGTATCTGATTCTTTTATCGTCGTTCAGAGCATGCTTAATTGAGATAAATGGGTTGTTGAAATCATCCATCCCTTCATATGGTCGATAGAATTATTAGCTTCTAAAGGTAGAGTTGCATGTAAAATGTAATCTTGAACACATTGAAAAGCAAGATTACTTGCCATTCTCTGTGATGATAACCACAGGATTCCCATACTTCTGCTTGATGTGATTCATCAGGCTTCTCAGCCCTTGAGGTACAATATAGAGCCATATTGAAGAAGCCTGCATTCCATAAGCATCATATGTTTCAGCTACAGTATAAGTATACTGTTCAAGCCTTAAGGATTATACATCAGAACAGAAAAGGAGTCTTATAAGCTATTTTCACATTATATTTTACACATTCCAATTCAATGTACATATATACAGCAAAGTCCTTCATGACACAAAAATGGAACAAATTAGGCTCCATATAGCTTGATAAATGGATTAGAAGTGTTGCTTGGGTTATAGAAATGGAAGCAGGGCTTCTGATCAAAGAAGAACAAGATTAACAGACATTTCAATAGAAAGTTTATTAAAAGATAACAAAGAATGTGATGGGTCTAACTGTGTTTATATGAAAAAAACAAGGGATCATTTAGGAATTCAATTCGCAAACAGAGTTTGTCAATTTTTTTTTCTAATTTTTTTTTCAAGAAATTTAACTGTGATATACATCTGATATTTGCTGGATTATATGTAGGAAGTAGATAGAACACTTGCACTTCAACCTGAAGCATGTAGGACATTAGCCTTTCCCTTTTCTTTCATTTTTGACAAATCTATGATGCTAATCTTAGAATGTTATGATCCATAGTTACAAGAAACTATTCCGAATTATAGAGCTTTCCCTAATTTATAATTATAGTTGTTTGATCATTAAATGAAAAATAAGTAGAAAACACATGAATGAAACAAGTTTACGGCGAATCACAATTACTAGATCAGAACCACATGATATATTGGTCTAATGACTATTTCAGCTTCATTAAAATTTACCCGATCTCCAATTGCCTTTCCATTCTTGAAAGCTGCATAATGGGAGGAAAAAAGTTAGAATCAAATATGGTTCAGACTTCAAAAGATACAATGGTGATTCTGTATCTTTCAATTGTTTTGTTTAAGTATAGCAAGCATCAAGGAGGAGTTAGCTCTAAAATTCATGGAGTTGGCTATCCATGGGCAATTAAATCTGATCATATTATGAGCATTGTCTACATGTTAAATCTGACCATGAGGAAGAGACATGAACTGATTCATAATTCCAATTGCTAAAATAATCATTGGAAGCAAATCTTTCAAAGAGTGAGCTGCTTACGAAGAGTCATAGCTCCAGAATCTGCAAGGGTATCATTGAGGAGTATTCCAATTATATTAGTTGAGTTGTGCTTTGCATAATATGTTGTGTAATGGTTTACTCCCACAAAATCCAATGACCCCTTAACCAGAGCAGCCTCAGCTGTTGTAAACCTTGGCAACCTGTTTCCAACTCTCTTCCTCATTGAGCTTGGATAATCCCCAAAGAACAGTGGATCCATGAACCTGTGATTCCATTGTATAAACTTCAGTATGCATACGCAGCTTCATAGCTCAGAAAGGAAAGCATGTTTAGGATCATCTCTGGTCATACAACTTAGCATTCAGCTCCCTGAATGCATAACTTAGTTTAATTCATTATGAAGCTGCTTTAACATCCAGATGATACTGCCAAGCTTATTCATTTTGCAGAAATTTTTGTATCACTTAAAGATAAGATCAGGAATGGAACATATTACTAGTTGAAAGCGCGGCCTCACCATCCGAACTGGAAGTCTTGTGCTCGTTGCGTCGCATCGATGTCTTCAGAGGAGTTTGTCATGGGCTCATACCACATAACATCAAATGCTATGCCAAGTGATCCTTGTTGCTTTTGCTGCATATCGACACCGATGTTTTTGTTCAGCGTACATGTAAACTTAAACAGCACACTTAACACATTAAAGGCAAGCCGACACCTAAAATTGCAGGCAAAAGAATTGTGATATCTGAGATACTGATACCTTATACTTTCTCCTGTAAATGTCAGAGACAGTGGCATGCGATAGAAGAACATTATGGGCAACAATGTAAGGCTCAGTTGCTGAGTTCCCTGCCCTGCAGAGCAGCCGAAGGAAAGCGGAGCAGCGCCCAGGGGCTTGGAGTCCCACATCATAGCCTTGGATCGCGAAGGTGTGGGGCTCATTGAAGGTCATCCAGTGCTTGACTCGGTCCCCAAATGCCTTGAAGCATGTCTCTGCATAGTCTGCATAGTCCTGTCTGAGAATGACAAGAAGGACAACATTCATATATGCAAGGTGAATGATTCATCCAAACAAATCAGAAGTATTTGATATCTCTACTCTGGACTGAAATAGAATTCTGAAAGAAGAAGCATGTAAAGATTAATGTAGTCAACATTCAATTCTCAGCTGTTTGCCACAACTCAGAGCATATGTTCTGTTGTCGAATGGGCATTACATAA